TATATATTTATATAGAGCAAGGGTGAGTACTTTCGTACTCAGCAAGTCACGGAAACTTAGGTGTTTAATGCAAGCTTGGAAGAGAGGCAAGGTTGTTTAGCAAATCTTTTATTTGAAGACATTTTGAAATCACTAAGTGATTTATTTCTTCCTAAGTTTGGGCTGAAAAGAGACTTACGTCTCGATTCGACTTTAAGGGATGTTTTTCAACAGCTCATTTAGTAATGTACCGACCTCCCGAGTCAGATCATTACTTCTCGGCTCCCAGAGCCATTCCACTTGATTAATCGGCTCCCAGAGCCTTTTTCATTTTCTCGGACTTCCAGAGTCCAGCTGCCCAGCAGCACAACAATCCGCTTCCACTCGGGAAGCCTAGTCTATGATGCCCGCAGACATCCCGAATCACACAGATTCGTTTCTGACTACTCAGGTCGTCCATCTGCCACATAGGCTGATTCTGGTTACGATTCCCACACCACAACAACTTTTCACAAAGCACAGGCAAACAAATCTACGCAACGGGAACCACCTCACATCCGCCCATGACCGTGGGCACGGCTGTTCGAACAGTTAGTTAACCTCTGCAGAGGGGTACACTTTACCCACAAGACACGAACTTACTCCAGACACTGGCCGGTGTCAGAGGTTCGCGACAAAGCCTTTCCCAAGCCAACCCAGGGTTACCTCATGCCATATAGAAGGATCAAATCCTCACGTAAGCATAGGCCATTTTAGGCATTCACAAATCAACTCCAACCACCTTGATCGGTAAGTGAGCAAGCTTCTCGTCCTTGCCTTACCAGGAACCCGGTTTGTCCGACCTCGCCCCGGCGTTCCCAACTATTGGCATGCGAGGTTTCCCTGAACCGACTAGTTACCTAGCCAGGGTGTCCCATTCCACCTTGTGGTTGCACTTTGATTATGTTTGATGAGTTTCCCACAGGAATCGGTCCTTATATGCGAATACGGGACAGTGCCACATAGGCACAACCCCCGCATCGTGAGTTTTCACAATTCATTTTATTTTCAAACACACCGACACCACATGTCGGGTTTTGAAGGCTTCACAAACCCATTTCCCAAGTTTTCGACAAACAACGGTGTATGTGGGATATTTGGTATACGCGCTCAGAGAGCACGAATACCGAGGTACCACAAGGGTGGAGCGACAAGGAATCAGGGTGGTACAACCTACAGGAATTAGTGCGACTACTGGGTAGGTCCGTCGGTTTGGCATGCAAACCGAGGCCAAGCAAGTTAAACGTGAGTGATTCTAATGATGCAAGTTGCAAACAAAATAATAATGACTTTCCAATTATAGGAGCAATTGATCAAAGGGTGACTTGCCTTGCTCAAGGTCTTCACGAAGCTTCACGAATCTTCGAGAAAACCCGCGATCGACGAAAATCCGATAACCGCCACTATACGCAAACAATCGAAAACCTAAACAAAGGACCAAAAGAAAGATCCTATTTAGACTAATTAGTAGTGCCATTAAATAGATCTCAATTTCACGGAATTACTGGAAGTGAAACGGAGTCAATCGGACGAGCGGTTGGGGAGATATGAATTTTGGAAGTTTAATTGGAGTTTCTGGAATAGGAGAAATGGTTTATGGAATTTATAGAAATAATATTCTCAAGAATATTATTGACAGTCACTGTCATGCGGGACCAAAGGAAATGTTTTATGGAATTTTGGAATAGGGAATTGATTTATGGGACAAAGGAAAAAGGATTTATCAAATCCCTGGAAAAAGAAAAGGATGGAGGGATGTTAATTGGACTTGGGCCGAGCGAAGGGGCGCGGCCCGAAGAGATGCGCGGGCGCGGCCGAGGCGAGCGGGCCGGCGCGTGGGAGGGAGGCGGCCCAAGGCCGAACGAGGCGCGGCCCACGCGACGCAAGCCGATGGACGCGGTCCACCGAGTCGGGCGCAAGGCGGGACCCACAAGGCGATGACACGGCTCACGCGAGCGGGGTGCACGCAAGGCGGCGCGTTGGATCGGTGGACCGGGAGACCTTTGACCGGTCTCCGCGGGGCCGGGCAGGTAGATGTGGCGTCCTCGTGGACAGCCACGTTGGCACGGCGAGAGAGGAGGCCGGGCGGCCAATCCGACGGCTCACGGCGTGTGGCGAGTTCCGGCGAGCGGCGGCGAACCGGAGTGGGCGGCGGGCACCGGAAGTGAGAGGGGGTCAAGGTGGGATGATTCAACGGTGCGGATGAGGGAGAGGCGGCGACACGGCGGCTGACGACGGCGGCCGTGCGGCGGCGGGATGGGTGGCACGGCGCGGCCGCAGTCAGCGAGGCGGGCGGCCGCGGTGGCGCGCCGGGGAGGTTCAAGAGGACACGGGGTGGGTCACGGCGCAAGGAATCGGCGAGAGAAGGGCCGACGGCGGCAGATTGCGGCGGCGGCCTTCGCCGGCGGAGAGAAGGGGAAAATCTCGCCGGGGCAACGGGAGTCCAATTCACCGGGGAAGGAGCTTCTACACGGCTCCGGGAACTCGTTTCAAGCCACGGGCGGCGACGAGCTAGCCTAGGGAGTCATGGCGACAGCGAGCGACCTCCGGGGCAGAGCAAGAGCGCGTGGCGAGCTATGGCGAGCGGCGGCGGGCGCGGCGCATCGCGCGGCAGGAGGAGTATTATGGTGGGGATCTCACCAACGAAGAGGAAGCAGCGTTGGCGTCGCGGTCGGTGTCGCGGCGAGGTGGTCGCGACGCCGAGACGGCACGGCACCGAGAGGGCGCGGCCGGGGAAGAAGGGAGGGAGAGGTGGTGCCCGGAGCTCCTCGTCACGCGTCCACGCACGCACCGGCTCCTCCGGTGCTCGGCAACGGACGGCAACGGCGAGAGCGGGACGAGCAGCAACAAGGCGGCGACGGTGGTTCGGCGGCAATGGCGCGGTGGGTGTGAGGACTGAGGCGAGTGAAAACGAGAGAGGAAGGGGATAGGGGTGGCTTGGTTTTATAGCGGAGGCGAGGTCGGTTTGGGGAGGGGAGAACTGACCTTGGCGGTCAAGTGCTCGGCTGGCGGTAGCGGCGGTTTCGTGGGCGGTGCGAAAGCGGCGACGGTGTGGATGTGTTGAGCGGCGAAGGCGGTGGATCGAGCAGCGGAAATCGAACCGCTGGAGCGCGGGCTGGCGCGGTCAAGGAGATGAGGCGGGTGGCGCGAGCGGTCAAGCGGCGCAGAGGTGGTGACGCCGGCAGTGGTCGGGAAAGGGAAAAAGAAAGGGAAAAGGGGGCTTGGTCCCTTGCCATAATGAGGAGAGGGAGAGTGAGGAGGAGGAGGAGAGGGAGAGCAGCTGCTTCTCCCACTCTTGGACGGGTGCGGCGTGGAGTGGCGGGGGCCAAGGATGACGTCGACGATGACGGCGGCGGTCGGTTTGGCATGGAGCGGGGGCAAGGCGGCAGCGCATGGCGTCGGCGGCGACCGGCCGGTCGGCCACCTCGCGAGGCGCGCGCGGGAATGGGCGAAGGCGGTGGAGGTTTTGGGCGGCGACGGCGGGAAATCGGCTAAGCAGCGGTGCATAGCGCGGCGAGAGGGGAGAGAGAAAGGAAGCAGAGAGAGAGCGAGGAAAGATAGAGGTAGAAGAGAGGCGATGCCTCTCTCTCTCGGCGCGTGCAGCGCACGTGCGGGGGGGGGGAGGAGATGATGGGCTGGGAGGGGAAATGGGCCGGGGGAGGAAAATCGGTCCATCCAAAAATACAGGGAGGTAAAGTAGACTTTTACAGAGAAAACTGATTTGGATAGAATTGGAGAGATTTAGGGTTTGGATTCGAATTCTATTTTGATATTCGAACTCGAGGGTTTAGGGATGTATCAAGGGAAACTCAAGGAGAAGTCATGGAAAGGATTCAAAAGGAATACTTGGGTATTTGTTCTCGGGAACATAGGGTGGAGTCAAAGAAAGGATTCGAGGCGGGATTTGAATAATTCTGGATTCGTAGAAGTTGGCGAGGATTTCAAAGGAAGGATTTGAATTTCAGAATTTGATTTCAGAGACTCGAATCGGAAAAGGAATTTTCGAGGTGGAGGATTTTGATTCCGATGAGAGGGAACAACGGGATTAAATTGAGATCCCTGGCACAATTTAGACTCTCACACAAAGAACGGAAATTTTCGCAATTAGGATTTTGCCGAGTTAGTTTTTAATGACTCACGAAAAGCGGAGCGTTACACGCGAGCAGGTGCCGCCGCCGGCTCCACCGCCGCAACCGCCGCCGTCGGCGCCAGCGAGATCTCACGCGCCATGCCCACGGTGAGAGAACTGTGAGTGGGGGACTCGGATAAGCACAAGAAACGTTGTGTCTCTGTTGAGAGCGGGACTCGGATAAGCTCGTGATGATTTCTGGTGATTCCTAGAAAATCTGTCCCGTCCCGACCGTGCCCAAACGGGATACCGGTGTTTAGCATTTCCGAAATTAATTGATACTTCCTCCGTCCTATAATATAGTAACGATTTTGCTATATATTTGTCGACAAATTTTTCCCCAAAAATTTGACAGATGTAATTATAGGACAATCGTAATGTAATTACACTGTAACTTACATGTAATTACACTGTAACTATAGTGTAACTTGTATTTAACTTTCAAAAATCTCTCCGTAACATGTTATTTCGGTAAAATGGAGATCGTGGGAACAAATTCTTTCACACATGTGTGTGCTATGATTTGTTTTCTTCCTCACCAAAATAAATCTTGTAATAGATCTAACGATTCAAAATTATGTGAAACTTACATATATGTTACACTGTAGTTACGTGTAAGTTACAGTGTAATTACATATAAGTTACAGTGTAATTACACTACGATTGTACTATAATTACATCTGTCAAATTTTTGGGGAAAAATTTGTCGACAAATATATAGGTAGTCCCTATAGTAATCTAATACCGGATAAGACACTTTATAGTACAATGAATTTGAACATGCTTCTTGTCTAGATTCGTTGTATTATAAAATGTCACATCCGGTAATAGGTTGCTATATTATACTAGGACGGAGGGAGTACACTAGTACTTACCATTTAATATAGTATTGTCTGACATCAAAGTCTCTTTAATTCATACTGTCAAAAAATCTTAAACACTAGGACTAAGCTACTGAATTTTAGGCTAAACCGCTAGTAAACAAACTAGGTGCTATAATATATATAACTACCTACTGCCATTAGGCAGCTTATCATTCGCACACATTCTCACAAGCCATACATACATAGTACTAGCATGTTGGTGTGCGCTAATGCAGAGATGTCACCATGGACAACTTCATCTACATGTAACAAATGGTGATCACCGATCAAAGATTTCAGAAACTTCCATCACTTGCACCCCACTCCGGCCTCGGCGGCTCTCCGCGGCGTGGAGTTCTTCCGCCGGCTCCCGTGTTGCCGGAACCCGTTCTGCTGCCGCGACGACGACGGCTCGCCGCCGTCCTTCCTCCGGCGCCGCTCAATGGCGGAGGCGCTGTTGCTGTTGCTGTTGTCGGAGCCGCGCTTCAGCTGCCGCCGCCTCTTCCTCCCCGGGTTCTGAGCTGCGGCCTTGGACGACCCCGCCTTGCTGGCTTGTGGCGCCGCCGCCGCCGCCGCCGTCGTCTTCGCGGCGTCGTCGTCGATCTTGGCGATGTCGTCGTGTTCTTCCTCCTCCTCCTCCTCCTCGGTCTTGGCGACGCTGTCGTCGTCTTCGTCCTCGTCGTCGCCGGCGGCGTGGTCGTCCTTGAGGTGGTGATGCTTCTGTTGTTGTGGCCTTCCCCTCCTCTTGTACGCCGGGATCACCTCCTCGCCGCCGCCGCCGCTGCTGCTGCCATCGTCGGCTTTCGCAGCTTCGGTGGATTTCCTGCCTTTCCCACCCCTCGGCCTTCCCATCCAGGCGAACCAAACAAACAGGGGATGAGGTGGTGGTGATGTTTAAGTTGGTAACTGCAAAATAATATGATAAACAAATCGAAGTTAGGATATATTTTTTCTCTCTCTACTTATCTGTAATATGTGTGCTGCTAGTTTCAACTAGTCACAACTCACAAACTCAAATAGCTGACTAGATTTGCATCTATGCTCGTGTGAAAGAATACGAAGAACTGATTCTTACAGCTAAAAGCTGCAAGCCTATAAGCATCACATGTTTGAGGCTTGTGGGGTGAAAGATTTGAGCCAGTTATTATTACAGTGGGAAAAGAAGTTTGTTTGATGGATACAAAAGGAGAACCAACCACAGAAATACTATTGGAAGTTTGGAACAACCTAACACAAAGGCAAGAACCATGTGAACAGACTCATTCATGTCCTGTAATCTTCTATCCACTGTCTAGAACTTCAATCCAAAGTCATAACTACCTCAAGAGCATGAGCATCCCGAGTACTAACTAGGTAAGTAGAGATTGGAAATCAGAAGAACGATCAAGAACAAGAACAAAAATATGTACTGACCTGTTATGATGTCTGGCAATCCGAAAACTTCCCTCGACAAGCCTTTTCCTCCGGGATTAATAAGAGGGTTTCAGTTTGCAGCAAAGAGATCTTCAGAGACTAGCTAGCTGAGCTATTCTACGATTGCTATCAGGCAAGAACCACCAACCAGGACATGAACAAGAGAGAGAGAAAGAACAGAGGGGATTCAGATATCAAGAAGAAGGCGGCGAGATCGAGTCGAGAGCTTGAGATCGTGCACAAGACTACACGAGTTTGTGCACACAGAAAAGAGAGGAACCAAGAGACAGCAGGAAGAAGAACTGGCTACACCATTTCTGCAGATAGAGAGAGAGAGAGAGAGAGACTGTAAAGAGATAGGAGAAGTAGAAAAGATGGAGATGGGAGTTTGCTTGCTTGCTTGGTTTGGCTGCCGGTGGTAACAACGTGCAGCAGGAATGTACGGCCCTCAGGTACAGCAATAGCACAGTGAAAGCATTTCTGATGCTCGCTTACTTTCTTTCTTTCTTTTTTTTTTGGGAGTGGAATCTCTGTTTCAGGTTTTTTCCTGTTACAACCAGGATGAAATTCGTAGAGCTCCAGTGTCTGGCCCTATTAAACTATTGATGATTTACTGCGAGATGTAATAAGAGTACAAGTGTGTGTACAATGGCGAGTTCTAACTTATACAGACACAGAAATTATGAAATGCACCCCCTGGCTCAGTACATATGTACACTGCTGATACACCTGCTGGTTTCTTGTTTGGTGAAAGGGCGAGATCGATGAAACGGTGAAGAAACAGTAGCTAACCCTGGCATCTTAATTTGGTGGTACTAGGGATGAAAACGGTCAGAAACGATCGGAAAACAGCCTCAACCATTTCCGTAACCATATTTTTTCTCGGAAACGAAATCGGAAACGGTAAAGTCAGAAACGAAAACGATATCGGAAATATCGGAAAACCGGAAACGGAACAATACGGACGGAAACATGTCGGTACAGATCGGAAACCGGTAACAAATACGGAAACATTAAACTATAAAAACATATATTTAACTTTACATAAGTATGTTATATATATACATAAATTCAAGCTTATACTATATAAATTATAAATTAACTTCATTTTAGCCATGTACAAAAGTTAGAGATTTTATTGAAGAGTCATTCAATCTATAAGCTATGGGTCAAGTATAGACATGTCCTATAATATCGACATATTTAGAATACGGTAATTACCATATTATAAGAAACGATAATTTCCGCGAGAATACGGTAAATACGGAAACGATCGGTATAACAGCAAAACCATTTTCATTTTCATTTCCATATTTTTTACCATTTTCATTTTTGTTTCGGTCGATTACCATTTCTATATAGCTCGGCCGGTAGAAAGTCGAAAACCAACGTCGGTCGGCCGGTAATTACCGTTACCGTTTTCACCCCTAGGTGGTACACACCCACCAAATGCATGTGCCGTAAGAAGCCAGTTACCATCTCTGCCCGATGGACGAATCGAATCGGTGATGGTTTCGAGCAATACCTGGTGCTGCTACAAAACCGGGTTTATTGCATGTATCACAGACCTGTGGGCCACCTTGTGCAGCCACACAGAAACACCAGTGTACTGTGTAATAATGCACTGGTGCAGGTACACTGGCTGTTTGCAAATTGCATGTAGTGGAACTTATGCTAATTATGGGCCACTTTTTTGGCTATTTCTTGGTGATTTTCTCTGTGAATGATGTACAGATGTGCAGTGCAGTGATACGGTGTGGTTAGTTGATGGTCCTGCCTGTCACGGAAGATGAAAATATCAACGGAACGAACCACTTCTCTCCAACACCCGACCAAACGCGATTCCCTCTCGCATGCGAGTCAAAGAAAAAAAAAAACGTTCTCTTTTGGAGAGAAAAAGGGAAGCGGCCGGCAGGCAGCAGCAGCAGCGAAGGCGCGCACCGCACCAACGACGCATCATGCGATGCTGCTGCTGGTGCTGGTGGTGGTGCGACGGTCGCGTCCGGCGCACGGAAAGACGCCGCCGGTGGGCGGTGGCTTCCTCCTCACTCACTCGCTGCGCTGCCGAGCCCATGCCGCGGCAGCAGCAGATGCACTCATTCATTTACGCCGCTGCCTGCCTGCCTGCCATCGTGACATGCCAATTGAAACATGCTGCAGCGAGAGGTACAGGGGCAGCAGCAGCAGCTTCAGCTTCAGCTCGTGTGGGTGTGGGTGTGGGCGGCGCTGGCTGCTGTGACGTGCTTTCCCTTTCTCGCCTCCGTTAGGAACGATCGGCAGATAAACGATGAATAACAACAGATTAATCACATAAGATACGAGATTTAACATGAAAAACCATTCTAAGATAGGAAAGAGAGAGCCATGGATACCAGCCAGCAAATCTTCACTATATCAGATGAGATTACAACGTTGAACGGCGACTTACAATATATATATATATATATAAAGGTAAAACCTCTAAAAGTATGACGATACATACTGCCGTGTGAAAATGAATTTGGATCCTGACTCAACAGCCTCGCAGAAGATATCGAGAACGTACGTACGAGTCTACGTAGGTACAGCGACCGAGCGAGCGCGAGTGGCGAGCAAAGCAGGCAAGCGGCAGCGTTGGTGGTGTTGGTGGTGGTGGTGTGTCTGCCTGCCTGCCGCGTCTGCTGGCGCCGGGCCGGCCGACAGCCTCGTGCCAACGCCTGCAGACGCGCTCGTCGCGCGATCGCCGATTCGCTTTCCCGGTTTCAAACCAACCATCATACGCGCGCGCGCGCGTACGTACGCGTACGTGAAGTGGTGTGGGTTTGCTGCTGCTGCTGCTGCGGCAGCGCGTGGCCGCGCGCGCCCGTGTTCGAACAGTGGAGGAGGAGGGGAGGGCTCCAATGATCTGTCAGTTTGGTCGGCACGACGACAGTGGGGAGAGGAGGGGAAATCACGGAGGAGCTAGCTAATCTCTCGTCTCGTTTCTTTTGCAGTCGTCGTCGTCACGGTCACATGCGGATGCAGGGGGGGGGGGGGGGGGGTGAAGTGAAAGGAAGGACAGGATCACAGGAATTTACTGGGGGATGATTCATGAAGCCCATGAGGAGGGTCCGACAAAGCTGAAAGGGCATTGGGCTTCCGGCCTACAATGTCCCCATGGGCCTACATGTAGGGGAACCACGTTCCTTTTCATTTTTATGGTATACTCCTATCTTTTAAACACAGTTTTTTTTGGCAAAATTTTATAAACTATCACAATTATCACTCTAGTTTGAATTTTTTTTCTTTGAAGCAGATCTCTTGTGTTTAGGCGATCCATGAAGAGTAGCCAGAGAAATACTTCAAGTTTTGCAGTACATTTACTCTTTCAGATGTGTGTCATTGGTATTTCTGGCTGTAGATGAGCGAAGAGGAGGGAACGGACCTTCTTTGATATTTTTTTCGTATTGCTCCAATTGTATACCCATTGATCGTGATTGCTGGTTAGAGAGGTGTTCGGTATGATGCAATGTAACTCAGACCACTAATGTGCAGCATGAGTTGAGAGAGGGAGGTGAAAGAGCTCAGATATGTCGTGTGAGTTAAAGAGTGCAGACATGTCGTCTTCTTTTGCAAAATAGAATAAGATTTGAAATTGATCTTGTGGAATATGTCCATGCCATTTGTTTTTCCAAAGTGTATCTTTTACAAGCAAGAGGCTAAAACCTATAATTATGTGATAAGGGAGATACTCAATCTATAGTTTCGTGAGATAAGTTTGTTTTGTGATAGATTTGTGCAAAATACATGTAATTTTATGAAATTTATTCTTTTTATGATTACATTTGAAAGTTTCTTTTAAAAGAATTTATGGTAGCTTTATAAGATAGTCGCATAGTTTTTGAGAGAGACCAAAAGGGAGATATTTAACTATTTATCACTCCTACAAGTGGCAATTAATAATTTGTCACTGGATTCACATGTTATAGGCATATAGGAACCCACATTTCATAAACTATGAATGGCAAATTCTTAATTGCCAGTTTGCCACATCTTAAAAGTGGTAAAAAGTTAAATGCCCCACCGAAAGAGCCTCCGCGTTGGGGTGAGTCTACTATGTAAGTATTCGCGGACGACGAACGGTTTCAACAGCCACGTTTGGGCTTTCCTATCCTAATTGATCATTCCAAAAAGGGACATTTAACTTCTTGCCGCTTTTAAGATGTAGCAATTAATTATTTGTCACTCACTGTCTATGATATGTGAGCCCTCATGTGTCTATGACATGTGGATCCAGTGGTAAATAATTTAGCACCAAGTGGCAAATAGTTAATTATTCTTCCAAAAGCACAGAAACAAAAGCAGTCGACAAGTTCAGATATAACAACAGCCAGTCAGCAATGGACGTACAATGCCTGTCACACTGTGTAGATCGAGCTCTACCATCTCTCTGACTCTCTACTCTCTAAACTCTACAGGCCGCCGTCGCAGCAGGGAGGCAGCGGGGCACCACACAGGCACCTGTTGCGAGCGTAGCAATCCGCACCGTGCGCCGCCATGAACCTCCCCGCCGGAATCTCGCCGCAGAGCTCGTTGTCGCTGACGTTGAGGTGCTCCAGCCTGACGTCCATCAGCGACTTGGCCACCTTCCCGGTGATCCGGTTGTGGCTGAGGTCGAGGTACCTGAGGTGGTGCGGGAACCTCACCCCGGTCATGTCGAACGCCAGCTCGTTCCACGACAGGTCGATCTTGGCCGCCGGCGCCGCGATCCCGAACAGGTGCGGCGACGGGTCGCCGGTGAGGCGGTTGTGCGAGAGGTCGACGGTGTCCACGTCGCCGTAGCAGCGCGGTATCTCGCCGGTGAGCTGGTTGTGGGAGAGGATCAAGAACCTGAAGCTGCCGTGCACCAGCCCCGGCGGGATGGCGCCGGTGAGGAAGTTGCCGCTGAGGTCGAGGTACCGGAGGTTGGGGTGGTCGCCGGCGAGGGACGGCGGGATCGGCCCGGCGAGCCTGCTGTCGGCGATGACGAGGGTACGGAGGTTGGTGGCGCCGGCGAGGTAGGACGCCGGCACCGGGCCGGAGATGGAGGTGCCGGTGATGTCGAGGTCCTCGAGCAGCGAGAGGTTGGCGAAGGAGGGCGGGATGGGCCCCGACATGCCCCGGACGGACGCGATCTGGAGGACGGCGAGCCCCGTCAGCTCGCCGAGCGCCGGCGGCACGGGCGCGGCGACGCCGGCGAGGGAGAAGAGCGCCAGCCCGGTGACGCGGCCGGGCTCGCCGGAGCAGAACACGGCGGGCTCCCACGCGCAGCAGTTGGTCGACGGCCGCCACGACGACAGCCTGACGGGGTCGCCCAGCTGCGCCTTCACCCTCAGCAGCGCGGCGCGGTCGTCGCCGTTGCACTCCACCGCCGACGAGACGGCGGTGCAGGCGGACAGGACGACGACGACGAGGCAGAGCAGTGGAATCCACGACGAGGCTACTACTGTTGCATTGGCCATTTTCTTGGGTTTTTAGGGTTTTTTTTGGCAGCAATGCAAGCTACTGTGATGATCTGCACTGAACTTGACCACCTGCATATATCTATAGAAATCGCCATGAAATTCGTGTGCTAGCTTCTGCATCAGATTCTCGTTTATTCACTTCATGTAAAGGACGTTCTTGTGTTCTGCATTCAACATGCATGTGTTAGCAGCAATAAAACCGCTCAAATCCGTGCAGGATTCTGCAGAGATTGCCTCAACATGTGCCTCAAGGTACACAAACCAGAATTCAGTTAGCGATCAGTTACTGCCATCCAGAGATCAATTGGATTCATCAGATAATAAGCAGTGCAAGAACAAAATTCTTTTCTCAATAAGATACAGATTTTGGTGGTGTTTAAAACTTATGTAGGTGAGATGAAGATGAAGATTAAGTGTTATACACAAAATGAGGTGGATCTCACCCAATCCAAATGTGGGTGAGATCGAAAAGGCCAAGAAACTTTCGCAAGTGAGTTGGCTTGTCTGTTGTTATGCAGTTTTCTACAGAATTATGTATGATGGAGAAAAGCTCCTTATAGATATCCTTCGTCTGAGAGTTGTGAGGTCAAATGGTTGTCCTTGTAGGACCAGGAGCAGTCATTACTCGATGCTATAGCCAGACTTGACGATGCATCAGATAGTGAAAGTGGTAAGTTACTGGCAGACTCTACTTGCACTGTTAACAGTATCTTTGAAGGGTGATGAGTATTAGCCACATTAGTATATTTGGTTTTATAATGCACAACCAAATAATTAGAAAGAGTGAAACCTGGAACTTCAAATTCTGCCCAAACATTGAGAAATTTTGGATGTGACTCAGTATGTTTTGATCGAAAATTTGTCAGTCTTTCGTAGTACTGGCCACCCACTTGTGTCGTCCTTGTCTGATGCCTCAAATTTGTTACAGCTATCAACTATTATTCTAACTAGTCATTGTATATGACAGAAGATATGGCTGTCGGGGCCCAAATGGTTTCTGCTGGTGATCACATGGGCAGGAACGGCGTTGCTTGTTGGTAACAACTGGCAAAGTGTTGGATTTTGAAGATTGTGTTTGTGAAGCGCCTGTGTAGATCACCGGTCAAAGGAAAATCATCGATGGGGCATTGGCAATTTGGCATGCCAAAAGTGGATGTACTGAACATGTCCCTGATAGGGCCTCTTCTTTAGGCTGCGAAAAGTTCAGGTCACAAGGCGCAGAGCGCTTTTCCTTCGGTGATAACGGTGGCTGTATTTGCCCCCTAACAGACTTGAAGGAACTCTAATCTGACTATTAACATTCCAAAACTGTTAAACCCTTTGCCACCATCTCCAATCTTCTTGTCTCTCTAGTGCAGGATTTGTAAACTCCACCTGAATGCAACGTGAAAACGAAGACTGTATCTTGCTTTCCAGTGATCAGGTTGTGATAGGTAAACAACTATAGAGACCATATTTAATGCTTAGGGCACATGAATGCGGGGATAGCTCAGTTGGGAGAGCGTCAGACTGAAGATCTGAAGGTCGCGTGTTCGATCCACGCTCACCGCATTTAACTTTCTTTTCCTTTTCAGCATTGCATTTTTTTTCTTTCTTTTCCTTTTCAGCATTGCATTTTCTTTTCTGCATTGTGCATAGAACTTTCTTTTCCTTTTCAGCGTTGCATTTTTTTTTCTGAATTGTGTTCTTTGAATGCACCATTTATTTTTTTTTCCTTCTCTTTTCCTCTCATCTTGATTTCAACGTTGCATTTTTTTTAACTGCATTCATTCAATGCACCATTTTGTGTTTTTCCTTCTCTCATTTAAAGAAGGATAACGAATTGCATTCTCAAGGTGTGAATATATTCTCCTTTATAAGATAACTAAAAATTATCTTCCAGTAATAAATAAAAAAAGTAGGTCGACTTTCACACCAACAAAACCGTTAGCCTACTCCCATCCCTGCGTGGGCGCAGTTGTCCCCGATCCCCTCCCGCGAACAGTAACACCTTCGGAGAGCGGGCACGCCTAACTTGTGGAGAGCTGAGAAGCATGGGGTTATGGATTTCAATTTTAAATTTCTTCATAGGGTAACTGTTGGAGCCGATCTTTAAAAAAATTTCTAAAATTTAGCACCTTGAGATTGATGGAGTGGGAGGGAGCAACCATGACTAAACTCGTAGAGAGCGAGAAATATGAATGTGGTTGTGGATTTCAATTTTGGGCATACGGAACTGTTGAAGCCGATTTGTTTTTCTTTCAAAAAAAAAACCCAAAATTTTGAGATTGAGAAGGGAATAAACCAAACGATGTGAGAGTGAGACCCTGGTGATGGGTAACGATCAATTCAAACCATCAATTTGTAAGTGATCAATGGTGTTGCTTCAAACACATGGTGATGGGGAACGACAAATTCAAACAGCAATTTGCAAGTGATCAATGGTGTTGCTACAAAGACAGACGATCAGTTAGTCGACTACGGAATGCAATACATTAGCCTCCAAATGCTGCAGACGCAAAACTACGTAATTTACTCATACCTTGAACTATCCACCTTTGCTACTTGCTACAGGTCACATCTGTTCTACTAGCTTACACTACACTGCCCCCAAATTGGCAAATTTCTACCTCCTCCCACCCCGCTTCGCCGCCGTCGCCGTCGCCGCCGTCTTCTCCGACCGGTTCACCTTGGCCCTCTTCGACGGCGGCGGCGTCGTTGCGGCGGCGGCACCTCGCTTCGACGGTGGCCGCCCCACGCTTCTCTTCGGCGTGGCGCTCTTGCCGCCCTTCTTGGAGCCGCCGCGGCCGGCATCCTTCCTGCCGGGCCCCTTACGCGTCTTCTGCGGCTGCTCCGGCGACGTCGCCGCCGCAGCACGCTTCCGTGTCCCCATTGGTGAGCCTTTCTTCTTCTTCTTCGACGGCGACGAGCCCTGGTTTAGCCGTTTGAGGAAGTCCACGGCGTTCCGCTTCTTGGCGGGCGTGGCTGCGTCGGCGGCGATCTTCTTGTCGGGCTTCTTGCTTCCGTCGGTCGCTGCCTCCGTCGCTTCCGAGAGCTTGGCCATTTTCCGGCCACCGACGCTGGCCGAGTTCTTGCCGGGGCCGCGGCCTTTCTTCGTCCTCAACCCCCACGCCTTGTCCTTGCTCGCTGACGCCGACACGGAGACCTTCTTCTCGCCGTCGTCGCTCCCCTCCCCTTCCTCGGCGGCCTCACCCTTCTCCGCGCTCTCCTCCTTCTTCGCCGCCGCCGCGGCCTTCGCGATGGAGCTCCGCTTCCGGCAAACGATGAGCGGCTTCCCTCCCTTCTCGATCAGCGACCCGACGATGCCAGCGCCGCCGCCGCCGCCGCCGACGGAGACGACGCCCTCAGCTCTCCGCGTATCCTCAGCCGGAGGGGACCCGGCCGCCGCCGCCACCGCGGCGGCGGCGGCGGTGCCAGGCTCCTGCTTCGGCTCGCGGAGGCGGAGCGACGCGGACACAAGCGCGCGGGCCTCCGCGGCGGCGCCGCGCTCCGGCCCGGCGCGCGGGAAGAAGACGAGCGCGTTGGCGCAGAGCAGCAGGAGGTCGCGGTAGAACTCGGCGGCGGCGGCGCCGCCGCCGCCGCCACCGGCCGGCGACGCGTCCAGCCTCCGCCGCACCATCTCGATGTCCACGTGGCGCCTGATCGCGCCACGGTACGCGTCGCTCTCCTGCAAGTGGATTTTAAAAAAAATGAAAAAAAAGAAAAAGAAAAAGGAAAAAAAAAGGAGAAAATATCTGTGGGGGCATCTGGCTGGAAGGCACCCCACCCGCCCAACTGATTGCTACGCTGCACCCAACCAACCACGCAGAATGATTCAAACCAAAAATCGAACAAAAAACTAGGAACTTTCAAATTCACCATGAGCTAATCCGATTTGAAACTTTCGCGTTCGTTCGAAGGACACAAAAAATATGAGGTGTGCACATGCGTCTCACCTACCTACCACACAACAAACCAACCCGAATTCATAAGCAAGCGATGACGCACACGAATTTTTCTGGTCACGTAATTCGGATTAGTGCTAGTGCTATGTCATCATGCCACATGCGTGGCCCTAATCTAATCCATAATAATCTAGAGGACCCCCGTTAATTACGGATGGGTCCCACCCTCTGACATATCGTTTGAAATTCCCCTCTTTACCCCTCCCCTAACTTTTGACCGGCGGCGGTAAAAAACAAAGGGTAAAAAGGGTAAATTGTAAATGAGCGGTAAAATTCATTTTTACCTGGCTTTCGTGCAGCCGCTCGAGCAGGGGACCGAACCTGGCGGCGAACGTGTCGAGCAGCGCGGCGAGCGGCTGCGACGACGACGACGACGACGGCGACTGCGAGGGCGGCCGCAGCGCGGAGGCCTCCTCGCCGTCGGCGTCCTCGTCGGCGCCGGGCTTGTAGCGGCGGCGGCGGCGCAGGCTGGCCGAGCTCCGCAGGTCGCTGCTCTCCTTCGACGCGGCCACCGACTCGCCGGAGGCCTGCTGCTTCGCCGCCGCCGCGTCCTCGTCTTCCTCCTCCGCCTTGACGCTATGGTCACCGGCGCGCGCCGCGGGTTTCAGATCTGTGGAATTGGACTCCCTGCACGACCGGCCGGGCTCCTCGCTCGACAGCCGCTCGTCGCCGTTCGCCGTCTCCGGCTTCCCCTCGCCGCCGCCGCCGCCGTGGATGCTTTGTTCTCTCTCCTCTCTCAGCCGCTTCACTTTCGTCTGTAGCGTTCTGAGACATGAAAATAATAATAATAAAATAGTTATTTATTTATTTAATAAGAATTCAATAATTGGAGACCGAGAGATCAGCATCAGACGGCTCATGAAACGCGCGGTTTAGAGGCTTTTTGAAAGAGAATTTGGTGATTAGATTTTTTTTTTCTTCTGGTGTTTTAGTGTTTTTTACCCGATGGAGAGATCGCATCGCTCGACCTCGCGGCGGAGCTCGGCGACGCGGAGGCGGCGGAGCTCGTCCATCCACCCGTCCGCGGCGGAGGCGTCGGGGCCACCCTCCTCCGCCTCCTCGTCGTCGTCGTCCTCCTCCGCCGCCCCGCCGACGGAGAAGCGGCGGTGGAGGTGGCGGAACCGGAGGCGGCAGCTGGTGGGCGTGAGGCCCGGGCGCGCGGCGAGGGGGCTCCGCGTCTGCACCTCCATGGCGACGGAGTCCCAGCTCCCCGTGCCGTGCCTGCTCACGGCGCAGGCCAAGAGCAGCTCCTCCAACGTCCCCCAGATCTCACCTCCACCTCCTCCTCCCGCCGCCGCCGCCGCCGCCGGAGACACGTCGGGGCCGTCCGATCCGTCCGCCATGTGCTCTCGTCGTCGGCGGCTGCTTCCCCCCTTTTTCTTCTCTCTCGCTCGCGCACGCTTCTTTGTTCGATTTTTATCTCGGAGAGATGGATGGGATGGATAGATAGCCTCTGCCTCTGTGATTCGAGCGCGCGGCGGCCTCGCGCACCCAAAAGACAATTTCGCGTTTCTCAGGGGGGTGTTTTGGAGAAGGCGAGCGTGCTGTTTTCAAACTGGGGCCCACCTTCTGCCTTTCTTTTTATTGTACGATCCCCATATTGCCCCTGATTGCGCATACTATTATCCCGTACTATATATGAGACGCAAATGTCGCAACAAACCGTGTTTATTTGTTAGGCCTTGTTCCATTAATCCCTATAAGTAAGGGATTAGAGGAGATTTATTTCACATCTATTGTGGCGTGAAATTATTCTCCCTCAATCTCCTACAATCCTATTCAATCCCCTCTAAATTGAACAAGGCCTTATAGGAGAAAATTCTTGCTCTAATTCCAAACCGCAAATTTGATACGCAGTACTCTCTCTATAAAAAAAAACTCAGCATATCCAGATTTGTTGTACTATAATTCCATCCCAAAATAAACTCGTTATGTACAAATTCGTTATACTAGGATATATCTCTATATCCAATTCGTTGTAATATGTCCAATTCTAGTACGAGGTTTATTATTATTTTTTTTACAGAGGGAGTAAGTTTTTTTTAGAAAAAAATTGATTCACAGTAAACGTGTAAACGATCTAAGCAAAGTCAGACCGTGCACTTTCTTTCTTTTTTGACACGGACGGCAACAAAATGCTTGATCCTGAAGGTGCATGATCCTATAAAGTATGCCAAGAATTCATCAGGATGCGGATTAGCCCGTGAGCTGACACGTGGGATCTGAATAATTTTGGCCCGGATTATCGGCTGCGTTGGATTGGTACGGGTGAACTGTTTGACTGGGCCTCCTTGATGATTCGCCAATGAACCTGTCCTTGCTTCCGTGCTGAACCCGTGTCTTCACTGTGCGGTTACAAGAAAAAGATTTGAACGAACAGGGCATGCCACTCGTCAGAATTCATAGTTTCAAACTAGTATTCCCTAAATTCTCAAATTCATTCATGCCGAATGCAAAAGCTGGCACTCTGTTTATCATCAATTTTTTGTTTAGGAACTTTGATCAAAGGTACAAGCACAGAGATAATGATCATATGGATTGAAATTGTAATAAGGATGATCTGGAAAACTAAAGCGTTTCATACATCTCAATGGAGCTGAAACTTCAACTAACAAAAGAGCGAGTTTATACATGGCGAATTGGAGATAAATAATACTACTAGTAGCAGTCTAGCACAAGCAACGGCCTGGAAAATAAGGCGAGATTATTACATCACCTTATGAGAATTCCATTTGCTTCCCTGGGGAAGCAAACTGCACCTACCAAATGTATTATTGAGCGCAAAATTTTAACCAAGCAGCCATGTCAAGTTGCAGTATTGCAGGGGGTTGCAATTTCAGCAAATTCTGATACTTCTTCACTTCCGGCGAGCCTCCAGTGCCTTCTTCAACTCCTCGCTCGCCTCATTCGACACCGGCTTCGGTCCACTGTCCACCATCTCCTTGCCGTTCCCGTGGCGATCTGGCTTCGCCAGGAATGGTTGTGGTGGTGGTGGTGCCAGGGACGACGGCATCCTTCGGGCGTCGCCTTTACCGGGCATTGAGGCGGCTCTATTTCCACCGATCTCGGCACGCAGGTCCTCCACGGTACGCCGCAGCATGATGCTCTCTGCATTGAGCACCTCGAGCTGCCTCTTGACGAGCGAGAACCCTTCAGTCTGAAATTCCGGCGCATCCTTCTTCTTCCCCTTGTCGGCATCGGAATGTGGAGGATTCCGCAGCGTGTGCTCAATTGTGATCTTGTTCATGACCAGCAGCGGCAACTTGTTGATGGCCAGGTTACCCGCCTTGCGGCCGTACCCGTCGTCGGCGAGGGCGGCCTTCAGCTCGGGCGGCACGCGCAGCCCCCACTGGAACCGCAGGCTCGCCTTGCTCCACAGCGGCAGCACGCTCCTGGTCGTGAGGCGCATCCCGGACAGCAGCGCGCCGACCCCGCCGCCGCTCTTCCCCGCGGCGGCCACGTTCGCGGCGAACCCGTTCCCGCTGAACGAGAACGCCCTGTGGTCGTCGCCGCCGTTGGCGAGGTCGGTCAGCTTGTGCGACGGCGGCGGCGGCGGCAGCGGCGGGGCCGGGGACGCGGACGCGGGCGGGGAGATGACGGAGTTGGCGAGCGAGAAGTCGCCGATGCGGGGCTTGAAGAGGAGGGAGAAGGCCGGCGGGCTGGAGGAGAGGAGGTTGAACTCGGCGGATATGGCGAACGGCGCGCGGGCGGGGGACCCGAGCGGGCCGAGGCCGGTACGGACGGAGAGCGCGAAGGGCTGGAGCGGGTCGTTGGGGCGGTACGAGAGGCGGAGCGCCGGGCCGGAGGCGAAGGCGGTGGAGAGGTCGAAGCGGAGATCCCGCGAGTCGCCGCCGCCGCCGGCCGAGACGCCGGTGAGGAACGGCAGCCCGAGGACGCCGACGGGCACCTTGGCGCGCACCAGCGGCCGGTCGTCGTCCCGGAACTTGATCGACGCCTTCATGGCCGGCCACCTAGGGTTAGGGTTTGGTCGATGGGGGAATTCGCCGGATTTGGTGAGGTTGCGGGAGGATAGCGGCAGTGGAGGTGGGGAATTTTGAAGTGCGGAGGTGAGGGATTTGGGGGATGGGGCGGAGGTCGTCACGCCATTTCGGAGGAGGGGGCGTCGGCGGCGGGATTGAATTGTGGGGAGGAAGCGGAAATGGAAGGGGGACGGAATTGGGTTGGATGGCTCTCTAGCTGGATGGACCGTTTTTACTCTCCTTCCTTACTCCCTTTCCTACCTGTAATAAGTTTATTTTTAGCTCCTATGTTTATTTAAAATAAATTTATTTTTAAAGCAATTATTGCTCTTTACATTTATTTAAAATAAACTTATTTTAAAGTAATTATTGTTCGTTACATTTATTTCAAAATAAATTTATTTTTAAAATAACTATTGCATTGGAGTTTAGGAAAGTATGAAGTTATTAAAATTGAAAATAGGTAAAATGAGAACATGTTGTATTGGGATTTGATAAAATTGACTGCCCAAACTACTCACTCTAGTGCAGGTTTATTATAATATAATTCGTCCGTTTCATATAAGGGTTTTTATGTTTGTTTAAGTTAAACTATTTTAAGTTTGATTAAATTTAGAAAATAACAATAATATTTATGTTATTAAATGAAAATAATTATTGTGAAATATATTTCATAATTTACTTTTTTATATAGCATATGATAATATTTTTCTCAACAAAACCTGGTAGCACTTATAATAGTTTGATTTATAAAAAGAGAAAATCCAAGAAATGTTAGTGATAAGCACCCAATTTCAAGAAAATGTAATCGATAAGTATGAGTTCTGTAAAATATCATTGTATAAGCGACTTTTCTCAGAAATGTCATCGTCGACCATCCGCGTTGTTAAATACATCATTCATCCTATAGCACTTAACGGAGGGCTACCAACGGAATCCTAATGATGATGGTATTTATAGAACAAGTTGTTTGTACGATGACATTTCATGACACTCACACTCGTCGATATCATTTCTTGAAATTGAATGATTGTCAATGACATTTCTTAGACTTTTTTTTCTATGAAAAAGATATAGAATCTTTTATATTTTAGAAACATATATGTTCATAATCCACCGTTTGCGAAGCAAATTCTTGTTTTCTCAGAAGATTATTTTCGTAATAATCCACATGTGCATAAGTTAATTGTTTAGTTTGTTGTTTTGGACTCTACCGTGCACATCACCACCTTCTTAGTTCGTGAGTACATCCCTCCATGATGGTCTAAGAAAGCCTAATGACAGGTCCAGTCATTAATTCCTGATATGGCCTTTAGGCCCAAAATTGTACTCTCAAATAGTCAAATCTAAATCTCATTATTATTTTTTTCCCTATAAACCATCCATTTTTCAAACCTTGGCCATCCAACTGAATTTTTTTTCTTGGGTGAAAAACTGAAAATGCATTACACGGTGCAGTCAAAACTGGCCTAACATCCTCCAGGAAATCAATCCTAAACAAATTATCCAATTGCTAAGCATAAGCTACATTTACAAAGGGATCAACAATTCAGAGTTCAAATTATCCAATTGCTAAGCATAAGCTACAGTTACAGAGGGATCAACAATTCAGAGTTCACTGGGCATGGCACGATCGCGGCGTGCCTGCACGCCGCCAACGACGACGACGCCACCGCCGCCGCCGCCGCCCCGGCGCTCCAGACCACGCCCTCCTCCGCCTTCCACACCCCGTCGTCGAAGTTGCGCGCGTAGCTGTCCGAGTCGTACTCGTACCTCGCCGGCGCGGCGAGCCTCCTCCTCGCTGCGCGCCGCCGCCGCCCCGCCGCGCAGTACAGCCCCGCGGCCGCCGCCCGCCTCACCGCCGCCCACCACGCCCTCGCCGCGGCGGCGGCCGCCGCCACCGCCACCGCCACCGCCACCGCCGTGCCGTCCCCTCCTCCTCGCCGCCGGCTCTCGCACGCCGTCAGCCTCCGGTACGCGATCGCACCCATCTCCAAAAACGCGCCTCTCCTCTTCCGACTCGTGCGCGCGTGTTTTCCATTTTATAAACTCTTCACATCATCATAAATGTGTTTTTCCGGACCAGCTGGCATGTGGGACCCACCCGTCGGGGAGGAGGACCTGTTCGGTGCTACTCCAGCTGCCAGGTGGGTCCACCACCAGAGGCAGTTTAATAATTTTATTGTGAGCTCTAATCCGTGTTAGTACTACTGCTAAAACAAAAGATTTGGGTTGAGTTTAGTTCACATCAAAATTAGAAGTTTGGTTAAAATTAGAACGATGTGATGGAAAAGTTAAAAGTTTATGCGTGTAGAAAAATTTTGACGTGATGAAAAAGTTGAAAGTTTGAATAATTATTTTGGAACTAAACACGGCGTTGTTATCCGAGATGGGAGGCATATTGGCATTGTTTCCGGATGCGTATAATCAAGCTGGGAAAGAGCAGAAGTACAGGCTGTTTGATTGCATTTGGTGACCTGATCAAATCAAACCTATTAGTGTGCCAGTTGCTGGGCTTGATCTTTGTTAGGAACAAAAAAGGCTGGGAGATGAATAATAATAATAATAATAATAATAATATAGTATCAGAACAAGTTCTTCCAAATCATTGGTTATGAACGGCAATGCTTTGGATTTCAGAAGTTGGCATCTGGTAATGAGGGGCCATGACAGCTTCTTAACAGCAGCCAGGATTCCAGACTACAGAGTGCTGGAATACCGACACAGTATCACAAGACTAGTTCTATGTTCTGGCCAATTAGACAATTAGTACCCATAAACGGATATATAGCTGCTCTAATTGGCAATCACCTGTTAACAACATAGTAGCTGGGATTTAGTAGTAGGCATCAACTGGCAAAGCAAGCTTCCATGATCTTAACCTGATTGCAGCTGTTAAGGGAACTACCCCCAAAATGCATACAAATATGAAAGTATGAAAGGCATGTAGCCAAACTACTATGGATATTTTACTGAGTTTACGCACGTTTCAGAATTCCCTGTACAAAAGAATCCAATTTGAAACAAAATAAGGTTTTACCATTACCATGAATCTGTCTTACACAACTACTTCTCGATGCCTAAGTTCATATCTCATTTCTTTGCCTTAGAGAAACGAAGGCACCTGTACTTTTCACCGCTAACAGTGATCTCGAGGGCACCGTCTTGGTTGTCCTGATTCGAAGCAGTGCCCATGAGCACGCTCTTTTCCTTCTCTAAGTTCTCCTTTTCCATCTTCAGCCTTGCCTCTTGCCGCGCAATCTCAGCCTGTGAAACATGCAATTGGATCAAGTCATGCTGCAGGTCAAGCATAGTTCACTCTATCTGTCAAAACAAGTTTGTCATTTCATTTGCGAATAAATAAATATGAGTAAAATCATCAAGCATAGTTCACTCTTATATGTGAAAACAAGTTTGTTCAAGCTTCAAACCATCTGAAAGAGGAATGTGTTCTCAACTTATTATTTCTACTAATCTGGCAAAGATATAATGGTAACAGGTCACTCTGCACTAATACAGGGTCCAAAATCACTCGGCATGACAAATTGACAATTAACCAGAATGGAACCAAGTGATTGTTTTGGATAGGCAAGAATCAAGTGACTGGGAGTTTAAATTTCCCCTATCAAATAGGATTACCTTATTACAGTCAGAACAACAACATTTAACAAATCTCTTAACCAACAACATAGCCTTCCATACGCAAAACATTTATCCAAATGAATTAAGATCAGAATCCGCCAACACAGCCATATTGCTTATATCTCAATAGTAGTCTCTGAATGGAACTATGAAAGGATTCAGCCATTTTTGGGACTTGCTGACACACCATAATCGATGGACAGGAGGAGGGTAACATACTGACTACTGAGACAAAACGACATGATAATAGGAACGCCAACAAAACATGTAAAGAAGAAACAAGCCAAAATGTATGCAATAAACTTCGGTTGACATAATATAATTCATGTAACTGTACATGTCATGTGATGAAGCAGGTATGACTATTGAGGAAAGATCCCAAATGTACCACGAACTAACCCACAGGTCTAGATTATCTAGGAAAGATTTTGTTCTCTCACAACATGATTCAAACCTATTCATCCTTAAAAATTGAAACCTTGAGAAGGTATTCATAAATAATACGGCAATCCTACTCATACACTCTAGTCTACATATGCATATTCTTCACATTTGGCAGCAGTTCCACCAAATGAAATTCTTCACCATTAGCAGTGTAGTCAGATTCCTATCGGCATAGGAGCTAAACTACTGAAAAAAAAAATCTAATAAGGCATTACATCCTTGTCCGCTTAGTTGTTTGACTTGTTTTTAAGCCAAAAACTGAGAAAAGAAAAAAAAACAAAGAAGAAAGAACAGGGGCGGATTTGGAGTGATGGGGGAAGCAAAGGAAGGGGATCATCAACATCAGATCATCACCGACCTCGCGGCGGGAGAGCTCGGCCTTCCAGGCGGCCTCCCGCTCGGCGACCTCGCGCTCCCGCTCCTGGATGTAGCTCTGCATCTCCCGCTCCTTCATGACGCGATCCTGGATGTCCGCGTCCAGCGCCTCCTGCAGCTCCTTCACGAACCTGTCCACCACCGCCTTGATCCGCACCGACATCTCCCTCCCCCGCACTTCGCCGCCTCGCCGCCGCTGGCGCCGGACTCCGGCGGCTGGGCTAGGGCTCCGATGCGGCCGCGGCGCGGCGAAATTTTCGTGGGCCGCTCGTTTCGTCGTGGGAGAGAGCCCAGCCTCTGCTGAGTCAGCAACTCTCCTGGGTCCGTACGCTTTCGACTGCGAAAGCCCGCAGAAAACGTATTCCAGAAAACCGTAATCATCAAGTGAACACGTACTCTTTGTAAACTTGCAACAAGCCAGCAGGATGAAAACGGTTGGGAAAACATCTTCGTCCTTCGACCATTTTAGTAACCATACTTTTCTCGGAAACAGAAATGGTTTAGAAAAATAGAAAATATCAAAAAATCAAAATCACATATTTAATTTAACATGGCTATATAATATAACCACATAAATTCATTTCTATTTTTACCATTTTCATTTTCCTTTTTCTTTTACCGTTTCCGACGGTTTGGTAGGTACAAATAAGAAACGGGCTTTAGTCGGTCGGTTGAGAATTTTCGTGACTATTTTCATCCTACCTATGACCTCCTTTGAAAATTTTCATTTTTGAGGATTTTGGTAGAAATTGAGCTAATTTCTAATGTTCCAAAGAATCCAAAGTATCAGCATCTGAGATGCGGCATAAAAGAGATGCCTCTTCTGTTGGCATGTCCTTGCCAACCGAAAACACATGATCTCCCAACTTCACAGACAGTCACACAATGCAAGACATACAGTGACAAATGGGTTAGCATCAGCAACAGAGAAAAATGAAAAATGTGCAGAACATTTTTCAGCTTCACACAGAGAGAGCATACCAGAAGGTAAAAGAACTGAGCCACAAGCTAACCGCAACATGCCAACATAGTTACATAGAAGCAATGAGCTTTTTCATCGGTGTCTGGAAGATAAAAAAACAATTTAACCACCTAAATAACACATTGAGTCTAGTCTCCAATAGTAACAGCACCTACACCAGAAGAGCTAGCTAGAGATGCAACGGCTACAGTTTTCTTCCCTGATTCAGGTTCAGACATTACACTAGATAGGGGGGCTAGTTAGGATCCATGGCGTCGCACCGGAGTACCTCGAGTACCACCGCCACGACATTTCCTTTCGCAAGTTCTACGGCGGTCAGACGGGACCAAGGTCTGGTCACTGATGATGATGAGGAGGAGGAGCTCACTTCCAGGATAAGCTGGGTAGCCCTGGCTGGCCATGGTTGCTGGCCGTGACACCTTGGTTCAGCGGGCTCCCCGGGCCGCCCGATGATTCACTCAATGTGCCCCTTGATGGCGGGCTGCTTGGCCCCGTCCCGCTCATCGGCACCATCTTTAGCGGTGCAGACATTGGGTCTGAAGGAGCATGCAGCTTTGGCCCCTTTTTCCCTTCGGTGTTGAAGCTTCCCACCACAATCTGTGGACACAGGAATGGTAATTGTTCATTATACATAGTGTGTAACACATAATTGTTCATTCTGTAGTAGTGTGTCACACACTTTAGAAGATAGAACAACCTGACATAAGCTACAGCTTCAAAAGTAAATATTCTATAAAAAATCCAAAGATGTCCACCTAGCATCATTCAGATAATATTTCCTTTTCGAAAACTACATGAAAGCCAAAAAACTTCAAAGGAAGTCCAAGACAATGAATGAATTTCAGCAAACCATATACTATAGTAGTTAGTAAAAATAGACAAGATCATAAAACTATAACTAACAAACTTACATACAGAGAGATTTTCTAGAAGTTTATGGTTGATGTAAGGGGGAATACCTGCACTGGTGAAGCAGCTGTCAGAAGTCCAGCAACTCCACCACCCAAGACGCGACCATCAGGGCCTGCTAGAGAAACACTGAGCCCACCAGTTCGACTACGATGGCCTCCATTCTCTGATAGAAGGAATGAACCGGACAGCGACAGTATCTCAAATCGTCCCTGTTCACAGAAAATAAGAAGGTTTCCTGGTTTATTCTTCAACGGAGGAATAAGAATTTCCACTGTGGTAATTCTACACAAACCTAAAACTCGAGCTAGATAATTCATTAACACCCACAGTTTTACCATATACAAACTCTTGTATTAGTATTTACAGCTTATGCAGTGGTTGCATTTGATGTTGAAAATAGATTTTCTCGATATCTTCTGACGGTCAGAAGCACATACCTCGTATGTTACTGTTCCACCGGAAGTAGCAGCTTGCCGAAGTGTCACATTTGATATGGCGCCGTTTGCTGACAGAACGCATACTCCACGAGTTCCATGCTGGGAGAATGACATGATCTTTGCAGATACATCCTGAAATGTAGAATTCAAGTCATTTCCAATTAGAAGACTGTCCATATTTGATTTCTGCACCCTTATCCTTGTATCTACACACAACCAAAACTTGCCAAGTGCTTCTATAGCATATAATCTTGTGATATGTAAAGTACAATAACTAAGATAATGGGTACTGTAGTTAAAAAAAATCTGAAGATCTCACAAGATAGAATTCCATTCATACACCATGCATAAAGACACAGCTCACCCGTAGAAATGTAAAATGGAACTATGTTAGCATGAGACCATATTTTTTTCACACATTTAATTGGAATTAATAGCTACAAGATAAAAAAATGCCCAGGTGTTAGTATGTGCTCAAGTGACAATAAAAACCAGTAATCTGATCAAGACAGCAACACAATCAACAACAACCAAATGTCCTATGTTGCATCCAAAAGCAAGTAGATGGATGAAAAGAAAAAAACAGAAAGCAAAGACTGAACATTGCTTTACCTCTCCAGCTTTAACAAAAATAACATGAGGTGTGAATCCAGCTCCTGCTGACCCTGCAAATTGCAATTCAACCAATAATGATCAAACACATTTACTGACCTCGAAAAGAAGTGAAAAAGACACATTCCAAAACACCAGTCATAAAAATCATAGTTCAGTAATGTAACAGCTAAAGAGTAACCACGAAGTGGCACAAAAATTACTGAAAAAATAAAACCAAACTTTCCTATTCAAATTTTGCACTAAAGAAGGGTTCCCTTCCATGCTAGAAACAAAAGAAAAGGTTTCCTAACCACTTAACCAATAATCTGCATACAGTAAATCATCTCAGATCTAGTAAAAACAGCCAGCAAAACCTGAGCAAGTGCAGAGTTAAGTACTCCTGACAGTAACTTTTTATCCTCTAAACAAACAATAACAAAATGAAAAACCAAATGAGTTTCCTCTAAAACTTCATCTCCTCTTCTTGAACATAACAAAATAACAAAAAATTTAGCAAAAAATGGAATAGTATTATAGGTTTAGAGATATAGTGATATACCGATATCTCCAATTCCGAAAGAGGGCACGTGCTTCTTGTTCGTGGAGCCCTTTGGCCGCCCCCTCTTCTTCGCCCCCGGCGGCGGCGCCGACGACACGGCGTCCGGCGACTTCGCGGCAGCCGCCGGCGAGAAAGGCCCGGAGGCCGCCACCGCCGCGGTGGACACGGGCACCAATGCCAGCGACATGGAGCCGTCGGGGCCGTACTTCCTTGGCCGGCCACGCTTCTTCTTGACCACCGGCTCGCCGGCGTCGAGAGCCGCCGCGCCATTGCCTCCTGCGGGCGGGTACGTCGCCGCCGGGGCCGGGGCCGGGGCGGAGTTCACCGGAGCGAAGATGGGCGTGCCGTCCGCCGTGTACGCCATGCGCACGCTCTGCATGCCGCCGGACGACGGCGGCGGCGGCGCAGGCGCCGCCGCCGGCGGGCTCTTGGGCAGCACGAACGGCTCCCTTCCTCCCGCCATCTCCGACGACGCCCTCACCTGAGTCACCTCCATCATTCCCACACCTTCTCTCGCAGAAGCTCAGCTCAGCAGCTCACTCAGCTCAGTGATTTCTTGGACCGAAATTTCAAGGCGAGCTGAGGAAGAAGACGAGAGCTGCAAAAACCACCATAAACCCCGCGCTGCTCAAAGCTGTGGAACAATTTTTTTTTCAACGATTTTACAGCGGAAGGATGGTGATTTCTTGGAATGGGTGAGAAGGAAGCTCAAATGAGGGGAGAAAATGGAAAAGAAAATCGGAGGAAGAAATGGTAAACCCACAATTTCCCAAATAAAAACGGAAAAATAGCTGGAAGGAGTTTTAAAATCCAAGGTTTAATTTGGTTCGGATTTAGCAAGTGAGCACTGAAACACAGATCCCAGCTCGAGCAAAGTAAGCAGCCAAAAATTACCAAGAAATTACCAGGAAATTAGGGACACTAGCGAGTACTTAAGAACAAACCGCAAGAAAATAATCTGAACAAAAAAAAAAAGGCTAGAGCAAAGCTTGCAAAGCCTTATGCGGAAAGATGGAAGCTCAAGAGCACTCGCAGAAACTCACTCAAAACAACTCGCGAGGAGAGGAGAGAAAATTTAGGGATTTCGCTTGTCTCCTACGTAAATTCCCCTAACTCGCCCGCCTCTCCAATTTTTCTCTCTCCGTTTTTTTTTTCCTTCTCTTTCTTTTCCTTTTTCTTAACGCCCCTACTAGCACGTAATCTTTGGGGAACAAAAAAGAAAAGGTTTTATAATTTGGGAAATAAAAAATGAGCAGGTGAGGTGAAGCACGTCAGGATTGCATTGGTAAAGGGTCTACCTTATTTGACCCCAGGGGACTTTATTTTATTTACTTTGTGTCCTTCCTTTGCTCTTGGCTTTATCTGCTTATGTATTTCTTCTTCTTTTTTTTATCTTCCTCTTTTGTTCTGTTTGTTTTTCACTGTGCTCATGGACCTAACCAAAACCATTTCCAATCTGCCCACAAACTCCAGCCAAGCACATGCCAACTGTCTTGCAACATCTCATAAAACAAAAGAGCATGCCTTTTGAAGTTTTGTTTTGAACAGATTCATATTGAGGTGAAAAACATGATAAGTTGATGTTTTAAACTGGTATGTCATTACATGTAAATATATATGCCTTCACATGTACACTTTGTATGCTTGTAAAAATACAGGAGGTAATATTTAATATTTTTTACCATCACATGATTTAATATTTTTATCATTTAATTATAAATCATATGGCATGAAAAAGTCACGACTATGAGAAAAAAAATCCAAGAATACTAATGATGACAATGAAATAGGGAGCAGTAGTCGCACATATCCTCCTTAGAAACCACTATATCTCGTCCTTAGATCCTATGAAAATAATTGTAAAACATAGATAATTCTAACATCGTTGTTGACCAGCAGAGTTATGATAAAAACATGGTTATAACAACAAGATACAATAATATTATATAGTGGTGAGATAAGAGATACCTAGAAAAGTCTATAAATATTGTATTAGTGATTTCTCCGTAACATCCCCTGCAAAGTGAACCACAGGTTTCTATGACACTACAAAGTAGATATGTAGTAACATAGATTGAAATGGAATTTGCTGGGAGAGATGAAGAATGTGGGTGGAATGGTGAAGTAATATAGTGGGATGCGAATGGTTATATATCATTTGAATCTTTCAGTTTGTTGATTTACATAACCAAAGAAGGAAGCTCTTAACCCATAAGCTTTGTACCAATCGGATATGTGCAACCGTTACGTATTCACATATTTTTTATTACCCTCTCCCTATTTCAAAATAGCAGTATGTGAATGGATATATGCCATATGAACGTTTCGATTTTATCGATTCACCAAAGAAGGAAGCTCATAACCCGTTATTTGTACCAACCAAATGTGTCTAGCCATTACGCATTCATGTGTTTTAGTAACTGCTCTATGTTTCAAAATAGTAGGATGTGAATAGCTAAAAATCATTTGAAAACTTAAAATGATTTTCGCTCATTAGGCATTACACATTCATATGCTCATTAGGCATTCGCTTTTCTGAGCATCCGCTCTCGATTTCAAAATTAAAACAGAAAAAAAAATCGTGTGGCCAATACATTTTGTTTTCCAAAAAAATATTAAAGTGAAACCATCGGAGTCTGTAATTGTATGAACTGGACAAGGCACTTGAGATTCCTACAAACGCACCAATTCTTTTTATTTTGGAAAAGTTGTTGTGACATAATAAATCTGTAATTTGTAAAATCAATACTCTTCAAATTAAAGAAGATGAATCACCAACCAAGTTATGCAGTCCTAAAAACATCATTGATGTAGTTTCCTCCTCACACATAACATAATCATAGTGTGTAGACCACAAAGACCATTCCAGTAACGAATTTACAAGGAAATTCTAGCCTGAGCCATTCTAGTATTTTGCTAGGTGACACAAAAAAAGAAAAAAGAAAGAAAAAGTCGGCACCACAACCCTGGACCAGGTCAACAAATCCGGATTTAATTTTTGATGAAGAAACGAAATCGAAATAGGACACGGCATCATTAAGTCGAGCACTTTTATTCCCCTAAAGATCCAAACACAAGCAGTACCAATTGCTAGGCATGGCCCATTTTTGCACCCAAAATTTCTAGCTTTTCTTGTCCCATGCAATGCTCCATCTTCACGGCAAAGTAAATGGAGTATATTTACATGAATTTTCTCATGTCCATGATGCTTTGAAATAATTGCAGTCACTAGAGGAATAATAATTATTTGGAATTACCAAAAAGAAAAAGAAAGAGGAGGGCCTAAGCAGGAGAGATTGAGTGCCTGCTAAGAATTAGCCTGCAAATCGAATAAAGTTCTGCACTTTATTTATACCACCACTCTTTATCAAACTTGTCCACCACGTGTCGTTTGCATCGTCCTTATCGCCGTCTGTAGATTTTTTCATTCTAAAAACTTTAATTTGTTTACTGTTTGATACTATCTTCCTCTTAATATAAAAAGTTTTAGAGTTAAAAACGATTATTAAGAAAGTAGCCAAAGGCCGTGTTTAGTTCACCCCTAAGTACCTCCAACTTCCAATTTTACACACAACCAAAGTTAAATAGGAAGATGTGATTGGTTAAAAAGGGTAGGAGAAAAAAATGAATGGTGAATAATTATAATTGGTTGAGAAATAAATATTGGTGAAGAAATTATTATATTTTAGGATAAATTTTAAGTGCTAGAAATTATTATATTTTGGAGGCGGAGGAAGTAACTATTTAATCCCTGTTTGACGCCTTGACGTTGTGAGATGGGCTGTTATTGTTGTTGCATATATATATATATTGCCGTCCAAGCTCTAGACTGATCCCATAATACAGATGTGCTATGCTGAGAAATCGCAATTTAGGTACTGGTTTGGATTATCACACCAGTCTGACATGACAAGTAATTGTTTGGAATATATATATTAGTATTTTTTTCAACATAAATAGGCAGTTGAGATGTAATAAATATTTTTGTTCAAAATAGTAGGATGGTACATTGAGGAGGTGTGAGTGTGACAGAATGAGCTCCATCTGTACAGAGAAAAATTAAAGCAGAGTGACTTCACTATTTTCAGTTTTGCAAGCAGTGACTTCAGCTAACACATTTGCACGTATTAACTGCATTGGTACAGAAAAATGAAGATGGTGAATTTATTTACGTGGAGCAAAACACGGAGAAAACGATGAAATTGTACTGGATGCATCTGCAATTCTGCATCCTGCTGACACCTTATCACTGGAGCCAGCAAGAATATACTGAACTTTTCCCGTGAAAAGTGAGAAGAATATATCAATATACTCAGTGTTTATCTGTGTTTTCCTTGAGAAAAAAAAACAGAAGGAATTCACTACAAAATGAACTTTGAAGCAAGATGGACGTGATTATTATGATCAATTCATGTATAAAAAAATTCATGTCAGTACTCATATTCCCAAAAAAAAACCAATTAATTCAGATAATTTATTTGGCTGGGTACACAATTCAGATTAATTTTGTACTGCAGGGATTAGCTAAGTCCAAGCTAACATAACCTAACCTACTTGTGAAAACTAACAAAATGCTCAACAAGAAACAAAAGACAAAGAATGTTTTTTTTTTCAATAAAACTGGGTGAAGAGGATCACTCAGAATTAATATTTGTAAGTGTCATAATCATCTTTAGATACATACACATTAATTCACTGTAATTTCTAGTGTGAAATATTTCTCTTGCCGAAAGCGTGCAACCATTGCATACTGTGATGTTTGCGTGCACTTATTGACCACTTTTTTCCCATAATAAACAGCAAAGCAAAGTGAGAACAAATGAGCATTGTAACTTGCTCCAATATATTTTTTTTCTTGATGGCCATACACGCCATCCTTTTCTCTTTAATACAAAAAACAAGCCGTCTATTTTCGTGTATCTTCACCTTCTGACTTTCTTCTGTTTTAGTGCGGCCAAGCTTATCCATGAGATAGAAAGAAAGAAAAAGAAAATCTTTATCAAAAGTAACCCTTGTAAAATAAATTTTCATTTCTTGAAGCAAGCATTGAGAAGAAGATAAGAACAAGATTTAGCCACAAATTTCCAAGGAAAAAAATATCTTCTTCATGCTAGAGAATGGATGGAATCTTTTTGTTATTTTAACATGCTAAGTGAGAGACGACAGTGAGTAGATGTGTGGTTCTAAATCCTCCTCCACTGTGGTGTGGTGTTGTTGCCTTGCAAATCAATTATTGGTGGGGAAAACTGGAAAAGGTTGGAGAAAAAACGACCACTTATATTGACTGTTTCTCCTGTTTATGTTCTGAATATTTTTCTGAAGAAAAATAAAGGAAGGGTGTGTTTTTGTGTCTAGGGGGTATGCACAATTGCGCATGCTAATTAGGTAGTAGAGCATTTTCTCCTGTTAGGCAGACATTTGTTGGAAACTATGTACTTATTGACAAATACTAGTGTGGTGACACACTATTGAGTCACACCCTCATCAAGAAATTGGTCCTATTAGGTAAAGGAGAAAAAAAATGCTATACTCAATTAAAGTGATATGATATTGTTGCTTCAATTGAGCACACCAATAGTGTAGGGACTTATGGTGGAGCCAATTGGCATGTCAATTCCACACATATAAAAATAAAACAAAATGCATTAATGCAATACAGCAAACTGTAACAGTCTTTTATGTTTAGAAGAAATGGACACTCTTTTAAGTAGAGGGTTATTGTCAAATCACAAGAGAAAGGAAAAAACAAAAGCATGATTACTACTGGAAAAGAAGGAAAGGAAAGAGAAAGGGAAAGCAGCAAGGAAGGAGGGCTCACCCCCCATGTGAGCTTCCCCCTGAAATTTGATAAATTCCACTTATCTTTTTTTTTTTCACAACAGCCGGCCATCCATGATGGCTTTTGGAGCCTTGTAACCTAACAATCCGTTCCTGATTTTAATACCACTAGACTGCTATTACATATCTCATTTGACCAAATTAATACAAGCTCAAATGCGATTATTGCACATGACACAAAATTAAAGCCCTTTTAGTTTGTTCATCTGCAATTTTGTTTGCTCATGAACTGTAAATTTATCTACGGTTTTACTTTTAACCTCAAAGTTTTGTGTTGCTGCTTTTTCTGCTCGTGAGCTCCCGGCTTTTTATTGGTTTGTCGGTGTAAAGATCAATCATCTTTCGACAAAGCTCCCAACAAACGGTACAATCTTCGTTTCACCTAGGGAGTATAGACTCTACTCTACCTGTTACTAAATATAAATATGTACAGGAATCAAATACATAATATAAATATTTCTGAGACATTGACTCCATTATACAGGAATCCAAATATTTTTAGGCAATCAGGTGCTCAGTAGAGAAATCCAAGCAACTCAAAACTCAAAATTAATCAATAAGATAAATGCAATGAAATCTTTTCTATCTATCTTAACGTTTGCCACTGAGAGAGGTAGCTAGGTGGGTACGTCTGTACCCCCAAAATGTTTTACACAATACTAGTATATAATTTTAATACTGCAAAAATGTACTTATAATTCATACACAAATAAGAGCTATTCAAGAAAATTAAAAAGTCATTTGCATGAAGAAAGATTTCAACTTTCACAAATCAATACAATATATATTAGTTTGATAATTTATTGATAAATATCACTATTTTCTTATAGCGCCACCAAATCAGAGTTTGAACCCATGACGAAAATCCTGGCTCCGCCACTTATTTTTACTACTACAAAATAACCTATAACCTAAAAGTTTATATTTAACACAGTAGCTGCTGAAGGAGTAATTACCACCCTGACTGAAGACTCCTTGTGATCATCTGCTCCAATGTGTTTTCAATGCGGCCAACCTAGTCGTAGACACTCCTAGCTAGGTTCACCACTTCAATGAACATCTTTGACAGAGAGAGAGAGGCCGTGTTTAGTTCACCCCCAACTTTTAACTTTCCATCACATCACATCACATCTAAAACTTTCTTACACATATAAATTTTTAACTTGTTTTTTTAAACTTTCAACTTTCCCTAAATTTTTAGCTTTTTTCAGAGACTAAACACAGCCAGAGTAGTAGTAAATGCGAGCGGCAGTGAAGAGGGCAGTCGCAAGTAGCAGCAGTAATGAAAGGCGTTTCCAAGAGGAAAAGGATGAACCCGTGGATGCAATCACTCATGAGATGAGCAACGTAGGGCCGTCGTCAATGAATGTCCTTTTTCTCCAAGTCGCCAACTGTTTTCTGCTCCATCGCCTCCGATCCGGGGAAGACAGTACAGTACAGTACAGTATAGTTACAGTCACAAGCCGCCGCAAGATCGTCGTCGTAGTAGTTGTTGTTTCAGTCTTCAGAGGCCATGTGAGTGTGGCCCAATTCGAGTTAGATGAAAATAAAAATTAAGATTAAGCTGAAGTAATAGTATGCAGACGAGAAAGTATGAGTTTTAATTATTACAAACTTAAAGTTGAATTTAATTGATAATTTAAAGCAATTTTTATATAGAAAGTTTTTTAACGAAGCGTATTGTTCAGCAGTTTGAAAATCGTGCTATAGAAATCGAGATATAATCTGCATCTCAATCAGAAATGAACGGGTAACGGGTATATGTTACTACTAGATGTTAATCGAGGATTTGTCCGGACCTCTGTAAATTCCGAATGTCCTTGCCGGATCTATTCGTTTATTCCTGCTACGTTTCTAAAATTACAATTTTGAAAAAGAAATATTTGTACGAAATACATTGCTTAGACCCTTAGTTCTAAACTACTCGTCCACTTCAGATTATCTGTCATCCTAGTATTCAGATTTTTTTAATCAAAATATCACGTTCCAAAGCATTTTTTGGTGTGAAGCTTGCCAAACAACAAATAATCTGAAACGAAAGGTTGTACCTGGTAGGTTTATAATTTACTCTCCCCTTCCACTTATATACTCCATGATGATAGTTAGATCATTTTTGAACTAACAAACGTCGTATATAAATAAAAGAAGGGAGTATAATGTTTATCTATTTTATAAACAGATCGATCATCTGTTAGCCATCGTCCTCATTTCACCTTAGAAAAAACATGCCTGGAAGGAATAGACTGATCCCACGCAAAAAAGATTAAAAGAAAATAAAGGAAATGGGCTGATGGCCTGATGGGTAGAGGAAGCTGCACCGCAAACCTGCACTTGTTTAGCCCAATCAGACAGGTAGCTGTAGCTCACTCCATTAGTGGATAGAAATAAGTCCACTTGGAGTCCCTTAATTATAAAGATCCATAACCCTAAACCGTAATACCGGATATCTTGATCCATCCAACTATTAAAACCGGTGTAATTTGACTTTCTCGATGGTTTTGAGAGTGCTTTTCATTGACATGGCATGTTGACCTAGTCCGACTTGTGCTGACATGGCACCCTAATCACAAAATGGAAGTGAGGCCCACATGTAAGTCACAAAGAAGAAAAAATAAAAAATTGTAGGGCACATGTGTTAGTCCCCTTCTCCACTCTCTAGTCTCTATCTTTTCCCCAACCATAGCAATTTCTCCCACATGGGCGGCGCAGCTGCGCAACCACGTAGCTCAAGTCTGGATCCGGCGGCCTCGTCCTAGCATCGTCGCCGCCGAAGAAGGGGGAGGGATCCGCCGCAGCGGTGGAGGATGTGGTCATCAGGCGACGATCGGCGGGGAGCACAGCTTGTGGTAAGAGTAAGTAGGGGTGAAAACGGTACGGAAACGGACGGAAACAACCTTTATCGTTTTCGTTTTCATATTTTTTTCGGAATCGGAATCGGAAACCCCAGAAACGAATATTATCGAAACCGAAAACGGAGCGAAAACGAACCGGCGCGGATACGGTAACGGAAATTTATCAGAATACAAAAACCCCTCAAACTGAGCTTCAAACTTTTGTCAAGTCCAATTCTCAAGTCTCAACAGTCAACAATTCATCATAAAACACAATTATATGAAATCGTCACAACAGCAAAATATATTCTTCTATAACTTCATATAATTTGCATAACAAATATTTAAAAAAAAAATTACATCAAAACACCCTTTATAAGATATATAGTATACACTATTATTCAGTGCTATACTGCTAATCTGCTATGAGCTATCACTCCATCATCAGTACATAGTTCATCAATTGTTTCGGTCATCACACAACAGCAGCACACATCAATCCATCAGTACAGTACTTGGATCAATCACAAAACAGCTACTTGCATTTGATGATTCCATCATAAATCTACAGCACAAAAGAAATCAAATCAATGGTTTAGGCTCGTCGGCTCGTCGCTGGGCTGCTGGCTGCTGCCGCTGGGCTGTTGGCTACTGCCGCTGGGCTGCTGGCTGCTGCGACTGCGAGGCGAGGCGTCGTCGGCTCCTTGGTGTGGCTGTGGCGTCATCGTCAGTGGTGGTAGCGGCGGTGAAACGGTGGGACGGCGCCGCGGCCGCGAGACGGCGCTACGAAACGGCGGGACAGCGTCGCGAGATGGCGGCGGTACGAGACGGCGAAGACGGTAGGGGCGAGGTCGCGAGGAGCCGAGGACGGCGGACCAGCGGTGGGCGCTAGCGGTGGGCGGAGCGCAATGCTTCGCCGCCGGCTCGCGGTCTCGCAAAGTTGCGATGCCGTGTGGCTGTCTCTCTCCTCTAGGGTTAGCCACTATTTGGGTAGATGCCGCGATTTGGGTTGGGCTTAAAACTTGGGGACGAGTTATAGACTATTGATTCTATGGGCCTTTTTAACTTCGGAAATTCCGATAATTTTTCCGGAATTTTTCCGACCGATTCCGAGTTCCGACGGAAACTGCTATTATCATATTCGATTCCGTTTCCGAGAAAATATTTCCGTTTTCGATTCCGTTTCTGAGAAATTCCGAAAAAATTCCGACCGGCTGATTCCGTTTCCGAAAACAGGCCCGGAATCCGAAAAGTTTCCGTACCGTTTTCACCCCTAAGAGTAAGAAGGGGGCGGGCAGCCTCACCCTGGCATCGTCGTCAATTGAGGAGGTGGAGGGATTAGCTGAGGCGGTGGAGGATGCGGTCGGTGAGTGGCAGAGGATGCGGTCGGTGAGTGGCAGAGGATGCGGAAGGCAGGCAGCATAGGGCGTGGTCGTCGAGCGACAGTCGGCGGGGAGCACTGCCAGTGGTAGGAGGAAGAAGGTACAACTTCTACAGTGGCCACTGCTAGATAACACCGCTACGCGAGGCTCGTGAGCACTGTGGCAGCCATCTGCCGCCCCCTCGCCTCCGAAACATCGTGGCGGCGGGGGAAGGCAATGCTCACACTAGAGGAACATGCGGAAACCAATGGCAAGGGGCAACGGGATGGGTCAAGGGAGAGGGTGGGACTCGTCGGTGGGGGGAGGAGAAGTAGGGAGGAGCAGCATGCGTGGAAGACCTCACCAGAGCACGATAGCTTCCTTTTTGTGTTCGCAGATCCAGTGGGATCTATTCTCTCTAGCTCATGATAGTGGACGAGCTCGAGGAGACTTGCCAACCGACGGCCACCACCCAACTCCATCTTCTCGTCTCCGTGCGCTAGTCCCTCCGTCCTCCCACCTCCCATGCCACGCCACCGGCAGGCGCCACGGCATTGAGCTCCATGATGACGGTGCCCATGACCATGCTACTCTAGGCGAGGGGCATGCTACGGCAGTGGACTTGGTGACGGAGGGCTCATTGTAGCCGGGTGCCTAGAGGACTGCCCTACCGTCGCCCGCCGTTGCCCCACTACATCCTGCAGATGCTATGTAGCCGAGAGGAAATATGATGATTAAAAGGAGACATAAGCAAAGGAAGAGAAGAGTCACTAACACGTGGCCCCCACATGCTGACTCTAACATATTGGACTAGGTCAACGCACCACGTCAGCAAAAACCATTGAAAGAGTCAAATTATACTGGTTTTAATAGTTGGGAGGGTCAAATTATTCAGTATTATAGTTTAGGGATACGAATCAGATTGGACCTGTATTTAAGGGAGTCAGAGTGGACTTAGCGGATAACCGTTTCTCGCTGGATCCTGGGCCATCCCGGCCCGGCCCAAATATCGATTAATTTAGCCAAAATGTGGCGGCAAACACACACGCCGAATTACAGATAGTAATACAAATCACAACATTATTTGCTCGGAATGAGACAACGAACACGAACGCCATGAATTGCCTTAGCTAGATGTCGCGTTGCATCTTCTCCAGCGACGCAAATGCGATGCAGCAGCAGCCGCGCCGCCCTCTCGCCGGCGTCATCTTGCCCGGTCGCTTCATCCTGTCTCGCCGGAGGAACGCACCGTACGTCTCGCCGTCGTCGTCTCTGAACCCCCTGAAACCTCCTCACGCCGGCACGCGGCGTCCGATCGATCGATCGATCTATCACGACAGCGTCCACATGAAGAACGCCGACCACACCGTCACCGCGACGGAGGCGAGGGCGTACACCCACACGAAGATGACGGAGCACTCGCTCTCCCCCACGCCGAACAGCTGCGTGATGGTCCCTGAACCAAAAACACACACACCAAGATTCAGTATTAATTCTTCAGTTGACATGAAGATTCAAGATGAGTGGGGTAAGAATTACGATTTGCCCCTTCGCGCTACAGTGCCACCTTGAAACCCACAAAATCCCTCGTCTTTTTCGTGGGTTCTAGGGTGGTACCGTAGAACGAAGGGGCAAATTGCAATTCTTCGCTGCTACAGGGGGCTGGCTGTAAATGTGTTGCCTACGTGGAATGCCACATCGGCGGTCAGCTCCGGTCAAATAAGATTTGGACCTACTATAGTCCATTAAACCAAGATAGTAGAACTAAATGTGCAATTTTCAAGTGTATGGATCTAAGTAGCATTTGCTCTCAAGTTTAAGGACCGGCCATGTATTTTACGTATTCAAGATTATTCCATTCTTTCTTTCCTACCAATGTTCATCGCCGGCGGCACGGCGTACTGAAGCAATAGGATGAACTGGTAGAGGGGATCAGGGTGGATGAGGCCCAGGTGAACCGCCGATTTGACGAGCAAGGTGCCTAGCGAAGGGAGAAGAATGTATCTGACGACGATTACGCTCGCTATCACTGAAGGCTGGACGCTTGCTTCTCCTCGTAATCCTGGAAAAAAAGAGTTAATGTTTCAGGTCATCAGATTAATGGCATTGTTCTTTTCGTCAGTAAAATGTACTGGTATTTCTGTCAGGTTGTTTAGTGTGAGAATAGTAGCATGCTTACCATTGAGGAGGTTCCCTCCCATTATCAGTGTGACAGATGGAATTGCTCCTCCACTGTGCAGGAAAAAAAAACACGTAAAAATGATTAGAGATCGGAGTTAATCCAAAAGGACAAAATGAAGAGAAAAAGGCAGCATTATCATTGATCAATAGGATTTGGAACACCATGAAGAATGTTCAGAAAACAATAGAAATGATGTGGAGGTGTTACCCTATTAGATCAGCTGACTCATGAATGACACGAAGAGGAGCGTTTTCTCCGATAATAGCATTTCTAATTAGAGGCGTTCCTCCAATTATAAACCCAATAATCTATACAAAATGAAAAATGATACTCAGCATAGTTTTATAACACAATGTTAAAGTTTGTAATACTCAGCATACCACAGCAATGGTTGAAGGAGCAAAGATCTTCTTGAAGTCAATTGCTCCGAACATTGATGATACAAATCGCTTCGCTCTCTCTGACAATGTGACCTATGAAAATTTAAAGTTTATAATTCAACAAATTGTCATAACAACATTGTGCACTAAAACAGTGTACAACTTGAACTTGTAAAAGGTAAATATTTCTTCCAGCATTAAGAGACCTTAGTTTTGCTTGAAGGTACACTTGAATTGGATATCAAAGGGAGTGTGCATTGATTGTTATCGTTTGGGATTGATAAATTCTCTTCTGACGCTGTTCCTGTACTGCTCCCTGAATTGGATACTTTTGTATCATTTGTTCGAGCATTACCTTCATCAGCCACTTTTGAAGTGGCTCGCATAATGTTATACGCGACAGTCCACAGAAAGACAGCACCAAGCTGCAGCAAATCACTGACGATTGTGACACCGGTGTTCTTAATCACAATTACAGCTCACAAACATAAGACAGTTGCATCGACTATCTGCAGAATATTTTAGATACAAAAAACAGATATAGCCTTACAGCCATTGAGAGTGAAGAATACGCTAATCCATAAGTGTGACAAACATCAGGTGCTCCAAACGGGCTTCCTTTCTCTTTGCAAAGAGCAGGAATGATGATGAGAAAAATATTGCCCCAATTGCCTGCATCCAACCAAGGGAAATGATCAACGTTAGGCACCGGAAGAAACAAAACGAGGGTTGTAGTATTCTAAGGTGTGATTATTCAAGTTCAGTTAGTCCTCTAAATTGTCCCATTCAATGTTATCAAGTATCAATTGACTACAGACTCTTAGTAAGGTGTAACTGTCCAAGTTCAGTTAGTCCTCTAAAGTGTCCCATTCAATGTTGGCAGAAAATATTGTACAAATAATGTTATAAATCCTCGACATGTTCAATCATGATCTTGTCCTAAGATCTCCTTTTTGTTACATGTACGGTTCAAGTCCAGCAGAGGTGGTTGGTTATCAGTATTATGGCTAGTACAATGGTCCAACAGGACTACCTGATCTATACCATCTGAAATATAAAGACAGCCTTGTCTGTTGTACTCATATTGGCTGATTTGAATTGTGTCAATAATGGCCTAGTGGGATGCTGGGACACCTTAAGATTGGATCATTGGACTGGTACTGGTAATGACTTACTGTATACATACAATTGATTCTCAGCTTTTCCATTTGGTTATCCATGAAGAGGTAATGTTTTTGACAATGACACTTGCATGATGCGTTGCATACTCAGATTGACATTGATTTGTAGTAGTACTATAAACTCCAGAGGAATAACCAACAGAAAATAAATATAAGAGTTTTATAACTATAAGTGGAGCTTTGCATAAGCATGAGAAGCTAGCACTTCATAAAGCAAAGAGTTTTCCACACTAACATACATGGGCCCAAACATCCACACAATAAATATGTATGTGAAGGATTTGTACTATGTTTATCTACTATAAGGGCATGAATTTTAAAAGATATGTGCTGTCGATTTACAAGAGCAGAGGAACTCCTAGTTACCAGCAGAACAGCAACCCAAAATGAGGCCTCTTAGCCTAGCCGGTGCTCTGGTGACATGTACCACGATCCATCCAAGGATTAACCCAAAGGTACAAGCAAGAAGAATATTCACAGGCATGAACCACCTGCATTGTGGGTAAAAAGAAAATAATTGTTTTATTTCAGTTGTTCAATGACAGTTTGGCAAAGAAACATGGGAGACTTACAATTTAGCCAAGCCTTCCAATGTGATTGTTTGTGCTAAATAGGTCGCAACAAGAGATGGATTAAATACATAAAATACTATCTGCAGGCAAAAAAGTTTATTTATTCAGAGATGATGTATGGCTTGTATTAGCAAAATATTTACTACAATTTTGCACAATTGAATTTACCCCAATCACCACAACTTACATTGTTTAGATATTTCCGTGCATCTTTGTTCAGTATGCCAACAAAATCAGTTGCCAGGAATGATCCAACACCAGTAACCAGAAGCATGTTCAGAACCGGCACACATGCTGTAATAAAGAGCTCCAGGAGGCCCATGATTGTTGTAGCTTAGTTCAACAAGCAGTCACTGTTCCCTGTCCTGAAAAGTAAAACCATCAAACATGCTAAGTGCATCGCAACTAATAATAGTTCTCATGTTTCATGTCGAGAAATGCGTATTTGATCGTCTAAAAGATAAACTTCTAAAATAAAAAACGTTTTTTTTTGCTACAATGATGAGAAAGGACCATTATTGGACCAAATGTCATGTCCATGGTACAGAGATTGCAAATTGTACAACTGTTTTACTTCTTCCTTGTCTCCAATAATTCTACTACATGCGAAACCAAACAAGTTTTACTTCTTCCTTGTCTCCAAGGATTCTACTACATGCGAAACCAAACAAGAAGAAGGGCGAACTACCAGTCTACCACAAGGAAGAAAAACTAAGGGCTAGAGGATAAATAAACTAAGAAGTTGATTTTTTTTTTATTTTTTAGAGAAGGGTATTTTTTACCCGGCATCTACATCCAACCGGATATATGCGGCCATTTAAATTAGGAACTTAACCCCGCAAACAACTTAATCTGAAATTCAACCCAATCTGAAATTCGCTTCTATGGAGATTTGAACTCAAAACCTTAAGGTACTGCTCAGGTCACTGCAACCACTAGGCTACAAGAAGTTGATGCAGCGAAGTATCACAAGATTAGCTTTTAAAAAGAGCAGGTAACTGAGATTCTCCCAAAGGAGAAGAACACTACAGGAGCATGTGAAATGAGCTTCAGAGTTTCAGACTTCACATGGTTTCGATCCACCCCTATATCGATATGCTCATCCATGCAAAGTGCAAGATCAAAACAGCTTTGAACTGAGTCAATGCAAAGCGCAAGATCAAAACAACTCCAAGGAGTCAGTCAACTGTACAAAATACTAGAGCTCGACTACCTTATCTCTAAACGACTTACAGAAACAGAATCGGGAGAATAGGGAGGAATCCTAAATTCCTAGCCTAATTCATATGGAAACTTAATTTTAACAAACTCTAACATCAACTCCAAGTGCATGCAGCTCATTCGCACAGCCGTGCAGCAAATGCCATCAGTAGCCTGATCTGATCGTCGCCGACGATGGAGCTTGCACTGTACTATACTATTTACTGACAAACTAAACTGTAGCTTACATCTGCCAATCATCTAGCTCTGACTGATGACTGATCGAATGAGCACACTCCAATAGGGAGAGTACTATAGCTTTGACTGAAGAACAATTTTTCTTCTTCTTCTTCTTCTTTTTTTTTTTAAAAAAAAAACAGATGCAGATAGGAGATAGCAACGCGCGCGGGCACACGTCGGAATCGAGATCTCCTCCGGGATCATGCGGCCGAGGAGGAGGTCGACGACGGGAGGAGGGCTTGGAACGCGTACCTTAGCTTCGTTCTTGCTGGCCTGCACGCGCCGCCGCAAAACCGCCGCCGCCGCCGCCAATGAAGAAGATGGAGGGAGATGAAGAAATTAAAGCGCGCGCTCGCCTTCGATTCCGAGAGAGGAGAAGAGCCACCTGGCCGATACCGGCGGAGCTCTGCGCCGGCGGCGGAGGTGGCGGCGGCCGACGATTCCGTGGCCGCCTTTTCTTCTCTTCTTCTCCAGCTCGGGCTCTCGAGGGTGTGGTTCTGAGGCTTTTCTCACTGAAGATTATATATATATTGCTCGTTCGAGTTCAAAGTCGTCGAAGCTTGTCTTGAAGTGTGGGATCGATCTCCGCAGAAACGTGCCGTGTATGCGTGCCGGTGACTCAAGGAGGGTTCGGCTTATCTGATACAGGTGATTATTATCTTGATATCTTGTCATGTTTTGTCTTTTATTAGTATTGATATTGTTGACTTTTTTTCATATGAGGTTTGTCCATTTGCGTCTTATTATTACTCCTTCCGTTTTTAGCTAGTCAAAGTTATATTAAGAAAGAGATTAAAAAATACTATATATATGTAATACGAAGAGAAAATGAGAAACTTAAGTTATTGGACTAAAATTATATTATTTAGAGACAAAGATAGTAGTACAAAAGAACAATGTAAATACTCTATTTGTCCAAAAAAATAATAATTTTATCTTTAATCATAGGTGTTCAAAAATAAGATAGAGTAAAAAAATTGTCTCTGGTAGCTAAGTGATAGGTAAGGGTGTCCTGAAAGAATAAAATTTATCGATTTACTAGTCAAGGGTAGATTAAAGGGACGAGAGCAAACTTATTTTGGGACAAAGCGTAGATGCTAAGTTATTTTTGGGACAGAGAGTACTGTCTATTTTGTTGTGACTTGTTTTATAATTAAATGTATTTTACATATGACTTATATTCTTATTATATATTTTCTTTGAATAAAATGAATGACTAAGTGCTCATTCGAAATGCAAGTTTGAAAAAACATAAGAATATCATTAACACAAAACTATGCTATGAATACATATACAGAACATGAAAACACAAGAATCTTCGAATAGAGATTCATCAAGCAGGATCACAAAGCTACTCAAGCGAACAAAGGAAATATTATTTCATCAATAAACCTTCGAATATTTTAAATTGTATAATACTATGATATAGAATTATACATGCTAGGGTGCAAAAATATAATAATACAACGAACTAAAAAAAAAGAAGTTTCCAATGGAGAAAGTTTGAATAATACCAGAAACGCTTAGTATCGGACGTCTGACGTATCGTGAAAAATCGGATGGACAAACTACTATCCCCATATCCACTTCATATATCCATTACATGACATAATGATCTTTAAAATATTTTTTTCTCCTAAACTACTTATCCAATCGATGATATGATCACACTATTATATTTTTTATAATTAAATCTTTACAACAAGATATCACATCATTACATTCCGATGAAAGAAAAGTATATGTTTCAATCCGTTAAAATTTAATGTTTCAGACACGATAGCAATATGTTTCAACACATGTTTTCATTATGTTTCATAAAAAAATTTTAAATGTTTTGATAACTGAATTTTTTATTTCACCATATATAACCTAATGTTTCATAAATGACCGAGAAAAAGTATGGGATGTTTACGCCACTACTCTCTCATGCCATTCGATTGGCTTTCTCCCCACACCATACATGTATGCATGTATTTAGTGATCTTAAAAATACTTTTTCTTCCAAACTATTTATGCGATGAGTGATTTGATCATACCGTTGAATTTGTTATAATTAAATCTTTACAATAAGATATCACATGACTATATTTTGATGAAAGAAAAACATATGTTTCAAACAATAAGAACTTAATGTTTCATACGTGATAGCAATATGTTTCACCATGTATTCTAATTGTGTTTCACAAAATTTTTATATGTTTCAGAGGTTGATTTTTTTGTTTCACCATGTATAACGTAATGTTGCACCAACGGTCAACTGAAACATTTGACCGTCCTATTTTTTTTATATCATCGGGCGTCCGATTTGTAGCTCTCTCCGAATAATACTCACAAGAAGTATAACTACTTTGGCTTTAATGGGCTACAAAGCCTGAACATGTCAAAGCCCAAAACTTCTACCCCGAATCTTTCAGAACCGGCCCAGCCCACGAGCTTAACCCAAAAAGCCCACAACAGCAGGAACCTTCTAGTATTCTCCCGTCCAGCGCATCTGGACCGTCCATACGACAACCGACGGCTGGATTTCCCTGGAAGGCCTTTATATGCGCTTCCAGACGCTACTCGAAGCAGGAAACCCACCACCGAATTCGTCCGTACTCCTCCTCCTGCTTCCCCTCCGGCGACGGCGGCGCAGATCTCCGGTAAGCCTCCTCCGTCTCCGTTTCCCGCGTCCGATTGCGTATGTCACAGCGGTTAGCGTAGTAGTGGTAGATTTGATTCGGATTTGGATTGACTGTTCCTCTCTCGGTTGTGATGGATGGATTGATTGATGTTGTATTTTTGCGTGTCTTATTATCTATCTATCGATTCTTATCAGGTTGGAAGTTAGGGTGTTCATCTTGACACAAAATCATGCCGAAATCAAACTGTACCGAAGCGAAAATAAGATATGGATTAGCTCTCCTTCCAATTGATTTATCGTTCTGTCAATATTGATCCGAATACGAAAATTTTAAGTGCTGTTATTTTGAAGGTTTCGGAACCGGAATTCGGAATTGCAGTAGCAGTGGATGCCTTTATAAATCAAGTTCTTGTCCTTGGCTTCAAATACTCGATGTGTTTCTTGGCTAATCCTAATCCCTAGCTGCTTGTGTGTTGCGTGTGCAATTTCTGACCCTTTTGTGGTGGTGTATATCAACAGAGAAATCTCTAGCTTTTTCAGCGGCGAAGCGAATCCATGGCCGAGCACCTCGCTTCCATCTTTGGCACGGAGAAGGACCGCGTGAACTGCCCCTTCTACTTCAAGATCGGCGCGTGCCGCCATGGCGACCGATGCTCCCGCCTGCACAACAAGCCGTCGGTCTCGCCGACGCTGCTGCTCTCCAACATGTACCTGCGTCCGGACATGATCACCCCTGGAATTGATGCTCAGGGCAACCCCATCGACCCTGAGAAGATCCAGGCCGACTTCGAGGATTTCTACGAGGACATCTTTGAGGAACTCAGCAAGTACGGCGAGATCGAGAGCCTCCACGTGTGTGACAACTTCGCCGACCACATGATCGGCAATGTGTATGTTCAATTCAGGGAGGAGGATCAGGCCGCCAGAGCGCTGCAGGCGCTGACGGGGCGGTACTACTCCGGCCGTCCTATCATTGTCGAGTTCTCGCCGGTGTCCGATTTCCGGGAGGCCACCTGCCGGCAATATGAAGAGAACAGCTGCAACCGTGGTGGGTACTGCAACTTCATGCACGTCAAGGAGATCGGCAGAGACCTGAGGAAGAGGTTGTTTGGGCACCTGCATAGGTCCCGGAGAAGCCATAGCCATGGCCGGAGCCGCAGCCCGAGCCCGTACCATTACCGGAGGGACTATGATCGGAGGAGCTCATCGCGGTCCAGGGACCACGACGATTACTACCGTGGAGGTAGCCACGATTACTACCGTGGAGGTAGCCGGAGGAGCAGCGAGAGGCACCGCAGCAGCTACGACAGCGATGGCAGCAGGCGGCGGCACAGGTCCAGGACTAGGAGTCCTGTCAGGGATGGTAGCGAGGAGAGGAGAGCTCAAATTGAGCAGTGGAACCGTGAAAGGGAGGCTGCACAAGTGTGATCTCTGGATTAGTTGCTGTTTGCAATGGCCCATGTTTCTCATCTTGTACTGGTAGCCCTAGATTAAATTAGCATCATATCTTATCTTAATGATCTGAGCTTGGATGTACTCGAGATTTTCCTTACTGAACTTGAATTTTCTGTCAGATGCATGTGTTAACTGAACCTATTTGGTGTTAAATTATATTTGTACTGATGGTTGTGTGCTTTCGGTTTTGTTCAGCATTCGGTATGTTTTTGTGCATGTGGTCAGGACTAGCTGAATGGTTGAGTAAATCTCGAGTGATCACGATCCACAATGCATTCCCCATTCGGTAGTATGCTATTGTGCATGTGATCAGGTCTAGCTGCAGTAGAATTTGTTGACTTGTAATGATAATTGCAGCTTGGAGCACCAATTGTTTTTTGTTTTCATTCAGAGGTTTCAGCACGTTGCATCTTTTAGCACCTGTTAGTGAGATGAAATGATTTACAGGTGAGATCATTTTAAGTTATCATTCAGATGTAGTAGTTGATCATTCAGACGTTTCAGTATGTTGCATCAGTGCAGGTAAAACTAAGATGCAGGTGGGAAGAGCGACGTACCAGCTATATTTCTGAATTTTCTGATATTTCGGATCTTTTCATTTGTAACCTCTGAACTTATGTTTCGCATATTTTAGCACCGTGAGTTGTTATGATACACTGCCGAACTACACATCTTCAGCGACTAGGAGCAAGCTAGCAGCGGCCTCGTCCATGATACCAGTATATGTTTCCTACAACTGATTGTTCCACTGATAGGATATATTGCCTATTTCTCATATCTCAGACAACCGAAGAACCCACAAAGAAGACATCTACTGCAAATAACAATCATCTGAACGAAAGAGCTCGATAACAGATGACAGGAAAAGGAAAAAGAAAAATCATGAACAAAAGGAACATGAGAAAGAAATCAGGGAGCACAAGCATGCACAACAGATTAACAGCACTGCAAATACTGAGCAAGCTGGACATCTGACGAAACATAATGAAATATTTCGTGGATGGCTCAATTAACCAATGAGTTTGTTCCCGCTCACAATTTATCAGCGATTCTCCGCCCAAAAAAGCTACAGGTATAGCAACCCTCTTAGAAACCTAAGAAACCAGGGGTGGGTAAGATGTCAACTTCCTATTACATGAACAAAAAAAGGTAGAAACTAGATGTAGATCAAATCTACATCTTAGCTTCCTTAGCAGCATCCTGGTATTCAGCCTCAGGAGTCTGGTCACCACCACTGCTGCTGCTGCTGCCGCCGCCACTGCCGCCACCGCCACCTTGTTGCATGTGCTCTCCAATCTTTGAAACTGCCTTGTTTGCAGCCTCAAGCTTCTGCTTGATCTTCTCCAAATCATCCTCAGCCATTGCTGCTCTTAGATCAGATACAGCAGACTGAATCTCATTGGTGACTTCAGCAGGAACCTTGTCCTTGTACTCACTGACACTCTTCTCAATGCTGTAGATCGTGGTGTCTGCAGAGTTCTTCAGATCAATCAATGATTTCCTTTCCTGATCCTTCTGAGAATGTAGCTCAGCCTCCCTCACCATCTTCTCGATATCACTTTCAGACAAACCGCCTGAAGACTTTATAGTGATTTCTTGCTCTTTGCCAGTGGACTTGTCCTTGGCTGACACCTTGACAATACCATTGGCATCGATGTCGAATGTGACCTCAATCTGAGGCATACCTCTTGGGGCTGGTGGAATACCTTCAAGCTGGAACTCACCAAGAAGCTTGTTGTCTGTGGCCATCTCCCTCTCACCCTGGAGCACCTTGATTCCAACCTGGGTCTGGTTGTCTGCAGCAGTGGAGAAGACCTGACTCTTCTTGGTTGGAATGGTTGTGTTCCGATTAATTAGCCTTGTGAAGATGCCTCCAAGAGTCTCAATACCAAGGGAGAGGGGAGTGACATCCAGCAAAAGGAGCTCCTTCACATCACCCCTCAAGATGCCACCCTGAATGGCAGCTCCCATGGCAACAGCCTCATCAGGATTGACACCCTTGCTTGGTGTCTTGTTGAATATCTGAGAAACAATATCCTGAACCTTTGGCACCCTCGTCATACCACCAACCAGTAGAACCTCATCAATGTCTTTTGCAGATACGCCTGCATCCTTCAGGCAGTTCACACAGGGGATGCGAGTTCTCTCAATGAGAGACTGCACAAGAGACTCGAACTTTGATCTGGTCAAGGTAATATTGAAGTGTTTTGCACCAGTGGCATCAGCAGTAATAAAGGGGAGGTTGATTTCAGTCTGCATGGTTGAGGAAAGCTCGACCTTGGCCTTCTCTGCAGCTTCCCTGAGCCTTTGCAAGGCCAACTTATCCTTGCTCAGATCAATGTTGTCAGACTTCTTAAACTCACTAACCAGGTAGTCAAGCAATGCACCATCAAAGTCCTCACCACCAAGGAAAGTATCTCCATTGGTTGCCTTGACCTGAAAATGGTACAAAAAGTTATGATCAGCACACATGTGGTACAAAAAGTTATGATCAGCACACATGTTCAACAGATATGCTTAGGTTTAGAGTATATGAACATGCAATGAGAAAGAAAATTACCTCAAAAACTCCATTGGAGATCTCAAGGATTGATACATCAAATGTGCCACCACCCAAGTCAAATACAGCAATCAGACCCTCCTTGTTGTTCATCCCATATGACAGAGCTGCGGCAGTGGGTTCATTGATAATCCTCATCACCTCTAGCCCGGCAATCCTACCAGCATCCTTGGTAGCCTGGCGCTGAGCATCATTGAAATAAGCTGGGACAGTGATAACAGCCTTGGAGACAGTTTTGCCAAGGAAAGCCTCTGCAGTTTCCTTCATCTTGGTGAGAACAAATGCACCAATCTGGCTTGGGGAGTACTGCTGCCCACCCATCTCCACCCAAGCATCACCATTAGGTCCCCTGACAATCTTGTAAGGCACCATCTTCATTTCCTTCTGAGTCTGTGGGTCATCAAAAGTTCTACCAATCAAGCGCTTAGACCCACGGACCGTGTTCTGGGCATTGGTCACTGCCTGCCGACTCGCGGTTATGCCAACCAAAAGATCACCATTCTGGTTCTTGGCAACAATGGAGGGTGTCGTCCTTGCGCCTTCCGCATTCTCAATCACTCGTGGTGTCTGCACAAACAGATTCATTACTTCTATAACAAAGCATGGCTAGTTCAATATTAACCGAATATATAGATACCAAACTAAAAGAATGTAACAGTAAGTCAGAACATCCTGTTAATCACAAATTAATTCCACACAACAACTATATTCATCACTACTATACTAAAGCATCCATAATTCACTAATAACTGAATGTATCACTATCCAATTAAAAGAATATCATGACTAGTCAGAATATCCTATTAATCACAAATTGATCCAATTCAGAATATCCTATTAATCACAAATTGTTCCAATTCAACAACTATATTGCAGTTCAAGATATGCTACTGAATCAGGCACCAATTCAAGATATGCTACTGAATCAGGCACCAATCAGGCACCAACTGTTTTACAAACAAGAAAAGATAACAAATTTCGAATGGAACAGGGAAAGAAAAAAAAGACCACACCTTCCCTTCCATAACGGAGACACACGAGTTGGTCGTTCCCAAATCGATCCCAATAACATCCGCGGCGGCAGGCTTTGAGCTGTACACAGAGCGAATCCAATCAACCACCCATCAAGCACAAAGAAGAGCAGTTGAGATCGACACAAAAGACGACTACTAAATTACCTGAACGCACGAGCCACTGATCCAAGCCTGGACAACAGAGGAGACGCCGCCGCGTGACGGGCCATCGGAGCCTGGTCAGATCAATCAAACAAACAAAATACATTACATGAGATCACCTCAACCATCGCACGCAGGCAAATCAACACTACAGATCCCAAAATAATATTACCACTTCACCAAGAAAAGAAAGAAGAGCAGAGAGGGGTGGAACCTGAGAGGCGGCGGAGGCGAGGGCGTGGCCGGTGGACCTGGCCAGCCTCGACGCGATGAGAGATCCGATGGCCATGGCGGCGGCGGTGGTGGCGGCGGAGGTGGAGAGGAGGAGGAGGAGGCGGCGGCGAGATCCGGAAAAACCCTAGGCGGGGTGGCGGCGAGGGCTTCGCTCTTAAACCCCTCGCGGGATGCGGCTCTGGCTTGCAGGAGGGGAAAGAAAGGCGCGGCCAGGGGCATTTCCGTCATTTCGGTGGGGTCGGGTTGTGTGACTGACGGTGGGCCCGGGGGTCGGGGGTCGTGGGGAGAAGGTTCTAGACCGCATCTTAGCTCTCGATAGGTGGCGAAGTCAGAATAATTGTTTGAATTTGTTTTTTCTTCTTGCGAAGGAATACTGGTAGTAGTGTTTTTCTTGATGAAGAATGCAACAAAACAAATCAAATGCATCTAGCGAAGTTTGATTTCAATCCGCAGATATTACGGAAGAACTGAAAGAATACCCTGATCAGGTTATACCGAATTCGGGTCTAGCCGCTTAGGGTCAGATCGGTAGAAAGTTGATTTTTTTTTTTGAAAAAAAATACATTTTTTTTGGATGCTCTCACCGAATCGAATAGCATGAAAATTCCGAGCTCTATTACATTTGCCCAATGATGAAGATTTCAAGCAATGCAGCCCATTAAATCTCCTAGGCCCAGCTCAACATTTGGCCCATAAATTCCATGATCCATCTCACTATGGCCGACTTTCTTGTGCTCACTTGCAAGGCACACGAGATGAACCTCTGCTTTCTGAGGCCTCCAAACCCTCTCTTCTCTAACTGAATTTTTGTTTACCAGCATTCGAGGGTCTGTTTGGAAAGCTGAAGATTATGAAAGAAGTTGTGATTGTTAGAAGCTTTTCCAAACAAGATTTGCTCTGGTCCAATAAAAAATATCTCGAGATACGGTACCTCACGCTAATAAATCGTTTCCGATCATTGGATCTACCTGGACAGGACATTGTTAGATCCAACGATCGAAAACGATTTGGTACCTCGAGGTACCTTTTGTTGGATAGAAGCAAATCTCACCCAAATTACTCTGCAGCTATAGAATTCAGAAAATGAACTAGAAACTAGCTCTTTCAAAATCTCATAAGCTATTTATCAAACTGTTTCTCAGAAATAAACTCTCCATCCGTTAGTTACCGTGCTGGAGTTTTAAGACCATAGGAATTAACACTTCTCTTGAAGAAGTGCTACCTGCTGCTGCATAGAGCATCAGAAATGACTGCTATAAATCACAAGCAGTTTTCCACGGATCAACAGGTTGAGATGAAAGCCTGAAACGGATGCATATACACTGAGCACAAAGCTGCATCTGAATCCTGAATGGAGCAGAGCAGCTGAGAATGAGGACAGAAAACACATTTACTGAAAAAATGTGTTTCAGTGACAAGTTCAGTGTTCACTCCTGGGTATCAGGCATACGGTAAACATGGGGAAGCCGGCAAGGTTCATCGTCTACAAGGCCTGCCTTCTTGTAGGATTCGACGCTGTCGGCGAGCGTCTCCTCAAGTTTCCTAGGTTTCCAGCCCAACTTTGTCGGTTTCTCCGATGTCAATTCGACCTTGTTGCCCACATCAACCAATCTGACCAAGGAAAAAAAAAACAGAGAGAGAGGAGCTGCTCAAATCGTGTTCATGTTTTGAGCACAAAACACTTAGGGCTTGTTCCCTTCGTTGAGAAAAAAACAACTTACAAAACTATGGTAATACCAAATTTTGGTAAGTTAAAGTTAGGTGGTGTATGGCCTGAGGTTTTGGCAAAATTTGGCAAGTAGCTGCAGTTACTTAAACGAGTAGCTGCAGTTAGGGTACATGCTCTTCATCAAATCCACCAAATCCTTCATGTCCATTTGGTCTTGAGCACATATGTACCTCTCACATGGCCCTGACTTGTCATACATGATACACTAGAAGTAAAGAATCAGTGACATCACGGACATCCACTATGGGCCAAAAATTGTTGTTCATAACATCAGGGCGTCCTGGATTGCAACCAAAAATCCAAAACTAATTTAGTCAGCGTACAAGAGGAAATACGTATTAGAAAGCTAGAAACTACTCCCTCCGTCCTAAAATTAATTGACTTTTGTACACGAATCTAAACATAGGATACATTCATATTCCTTTACACAAATTGATTTATCATAGGACGAAGGGAGGAGGGTGCCTTTGAGGGTGAACCTTTCATGATGTAGAGGAGAACTCTGCTGCTGGTGTTGAGTTGCATGGTATGCAACAGTGGGCCAAAGACAAGGGCAGGGCAAACTGTAATGACATGCAGTCCATTTTTCTCTGAATATTCCAGGGCTATCTCTTCAGCTTCGGTCTTGGCAAAGCTGTACCAGTTCTGCCAACACAAGAATATATTTGGAGGTCAATAAATTAGTCCCCGAAAGATAAATTAATGCTGCACGAAGAACAGTTTAATTTGCAATATCTGACCTTATTTTCTCTGCAGAACTCCTTGTCTGACCAGCAAGTCTCATCTCTCACCCTGTCTTGAGGCCAGCTCGGGTAAAGCACACAGCACCAATGGAGGAGACCATGACGAGTTTCTGAACACCGGAAGCTGAGCAAGCCTCGAGCACATTTTTGGTGCCTTTCACAGCAGGAACCATCATCTCCTTCTGCATGTATATATGATCACCAGCTAGATTGTAAGATTGTAGAAGAGTTATTGTACAAATATATATTTCTTTAGAGAAGGGTATTTTTTATCCAGCATCTACATACAATCGGATATATGCATTATTTAGTTACTTAGCCCCTTAAATAACCAAATCTAAAAGCTTTTTTTTTAAATTGGAAACTTAGCCCCTCAAATAACCCAATTTAAAATTCGTTTATATGGAGATTTGAACTCAGAACCTTAGAGCGCCACTCAGGTCACTGTAACCATTAGACTACATGTCCTTTCACAATTGTACAAATATATACTTATCGGACACGTATCCTATTCGGTGCTGCATATGCAGTAGTTGTAACTGACACGTGGGTCGTACTTGCACCAAACCCAGACCCAGTGACCCACATGTCAATGACGCATGTTACGCATATCAGGGTTCACATATCACATATCAGTGACACCCACTGCATATGTAGTGTTGTAGAGGATCCCACTCCACACTTGCCTATGGATCAACCGTCTCGTCTTCCGGCACCGAAGTGCCGGTATGGAAGACCCCCTCGCAGCCGGTGAACGCCACCGTCAGAGCGTCGCCGTTGAGCTCGTCGGCCTTGAACAGGTGCAGGTTCCCCGGAGCCAATGTCCAGCTGCTTCAGAAACGCGTCCCTGGGATCATCTGAAACAAGAACACGTATAATCACCATACCTGACCTGACAACAAAGGAAAAGATCGATGAACATAAGCAAATATACTGACGTGCAATTCTTTTTGCGCGTTTGCAAAAAGCCGAAAAAGATGAACATCAGCAAGAAGTCGATCGAGAGGTCCATGCCTGGGTCGGCTGCAACACAAAACTACAAAAGTCCATTGCTACTGCTCTGCTAGTAGCATCAAACATTTGTTTAATCGGGTGGCGGATATATTAAAATTACACACACAATTGTCCATCTTAATCAGTAGACAATATTCAATTATTGCCAGGCATAAATTGTGTCATTGATCACAGGCTGAATCAATTCACTAATGGAACAGAGCAGATGATAATGTGGACACTGGACAGGAACACCTGATCCCTCATCTATTACAGTATTATTGGAAACTTTTTTTTTCAGTGACAATTAGATCAAGAACAGTAGCAGCAAGACGGCGCCGGCTGTTCACTCCTGAGCATCTGGTGCACGGTAAAGATGGGGAAGCCGGCAAGGTTCGTCATCTACAAAGCCTGCCTTCTTGTAGGATTCAACGCTGTCGACAAGCGTCTCCTCGAGTTTCCTAGGTTTCCAGCCCAGCTTCTTCAGCTTCTCTGATGTCAATTCAACACTCGTAGTCATATCCACATCAACCACTCTGCAAAAATAATTGTGTTCATCTTGTGATACTGATGCAATAACCTGATGTCATTTCAGTTTCTCTGTCATGAATAGGATAGTTGATGATGATAATGATACAAGGCAAATTACTTGGCTGTGTAGCTGTAGTTAGGGTACATGCTCTTCATCAAATCCAACAAATCCCTCATGTCCATTTGTTCTTGAGAACAGATGTATCGCTCAGATGGCCCTGCCTTGTCGTACACTAGAAGTAAAGCATCGGCGACATCGCGGACATCGACTATGGGAAAGAATTTGTTGCTTAGTGCATCAGGGCCTCCTGCGTTGCAACCAAAACTGATGGAATCAGTGCACCAATCACCAGAACAAACAAAAACTGTAGAAACTATAAACCATTGAGAAAAGCTAGAAAACAGATACCGTTTGCACGGTATAGTTAGGCCCGGTTTAGTTCCCCAATTTTTTTTCCCAAAAACATCAGATCAAATCTTTAGACACATGCATAGATTAAAGAAAAACTAATTGCACAGTTTGCATGAAAATCGCGAGACGAATATTTTAAGCCTAATTAATCCATAATTAGCCATAAGTGCTATAGTAACCCACATGTGCTAATGATGAATTAATTAGGCTCAAGAGATTCGTCTCGCGGTTTCCAGACGAATTATGAAATTAGTTTTTTCATTCATGTCCGAAAACCCCTTCCAACATCCGGTCAAACGTCCGATGTAATTCCTAAAAATTTTCTTTTCGAGAACTAAACAGGGCCTTAATAGAACCTGCTCCCTGCTTGCATATGATCTGACACATGCATTCTCACAAATCACAAGCAACTTTCCACTTCTCATACGGATAGCTCGGGAAGATAAAAAATGACGAGAAGTAGGGTCCATGTTGAATATGTGCGGATGAGATGACATGGGCCCTCCGGATTTCCATTGATGTCCACATATAAAATGGACCCTAGCTTGGCATGCAGCTACAAAATTTTTTAGAAATTTGTTACGTTGTACTATTGAAGCAGCACCGATGAGGGGAAAGTCACTAAATTGTCCCCTTTTCTTTCTTATTTTTTGATTTTGTTTTTTTAAGATGAAACCTTCTAATTTTCATCTCAATTAATCGGTACCTAGGTACCAAACATGATACTATACCTATATTACTATCTTTGATATATATCTAGGTACCTAGTCTGAGACCCATAAGTATCATATCCGATACAATAAGTGCCATGTTTGATACCTATTGGTACCATGTTCAATACCTACGTACTTGGTCTGATACTCGTGGGTATCACATCCGATACTTAGGTATCAAGTCTAGTATTCGTGGATACCATATCCGGTACCTAGGTATCAGGTCTGATACCTATGGTACCATATCCGATACCTAGTAACCAAGTCCCATACTTATGGTACCATATTTGAGACCTCAGGTCTGATACCTATGGTACCATATCTGATACCTAGTAACCAAGTCTAATAGTACTTATGGTACCATATTTGAGACCTCAGGTCTGATACCTATGGATACCATTTCCGATACCTAGTAACCAAGTCCAATACGGTACCATATCTAGGACATAATTACCATGTCAGATACCCATGAGCACCAACAAGTTTGATACAAATAGACATGATATGTATCTCCAAATATTAGTATCATCACATGTATCAATCTAGGTGACTCAACCTAATTGGTCAGCCTAGCTCTCATTCCCTATTTTATAAAAAAAAAGAAATAACGAAGAGCATCTATCCATTACATATTGGCCCGACTCCATCCAAGCCACCTAGCACATAGGCATGTCAGAGCATGTGGCCTAGCTCTGTAGTCGTCCCATCTATCAAAATTATACATGAAGCTTGAAAGTTAGGGAGTGTTTAGATTCAGGGGTGTAAAGTTTTGGCGTGTCACATCGGGTATTATATAGGGTGTCGCATGGGGTGTTCGGGCACTAATAAAAAAACTAATTATAGAATTCGTCAGTAAACCGCGAGACGAATTTATTAAGCCTAATTAATCCGTCATTAGCAAATGTTTACTGTAGCACCACATTGTCAAATCATGGCGCAATTAGGCTTAAAAGATTCGTATCGCAATTTCCTGGCTAATTGTGTAATTGGTTTTTGTTAATCCACATTTAATACTCTATGCATATATCCAAACATTCGATGTGATGGGTGAAAAGTTTTTATTTTGGGAACTAAACAAGGTCTAACTATGCCGTTCGGACGGGATAGCGTGCTCTAGTTTCTCTCCATTGAGAAAAGAGGGTGAGGTGAACCTTTCATGATGTAGAGCAGAACTTTGCTGCTGGTGTTGAGTAGCACAGTCTGCAACAGTGGCCCAAAGATAACGCCAGGGCAAACCGTAATGACATGCAGTCCATTTTTCTCTGAATATTCCAGGGCCATCTCTTCAGCTTCGGTCTTGGCAAGACAGTACCAGTTCTGCCAACACAAGAATTTGAGGTTCATAAATTAATCCTAGCTACTATTAACCAGGAAATCCAACGAAAGGCTAAAAGAGCTTTTTTTCCCCCTTTTCTTTTTGCAGTTGTCTGAACTCTGAAGTGTTAAGCTGCTATCTGTAGAACACTAGTTTGGCAACATTTTGCTCAAAATAAATTAATCCTAGCTACTTTCTAGCAATCATCCCTAATAACTAACTGATGAATCAAGGAAAAACTAACGATAGAGAAAAGCAAGAGAGGCCAATTTCTGACCTCATTTTCTTTGCATGACTTCTTGTCTGACCAGCAAGTCTCATCTATGAGCCTGTCTCGAGGCAAGCTCGGGTTAAAGCAAACAGCACAGATGGATGAGACCACGACGAGTTTCTGAACGCTCGCAGCAGAGCAAGCCTCGAGCACATTTCTGGTGCCTTTCACAGCAGGAGCCAGCATCTCCTTCTGAACAATCGTGTTTAGCAAACATAGGATCAGCAGAAGAACTGCAGATTGCAGAGAAGTGTGTGTGTAAATGGAGTATTTACCTCCGGATCGACCGTCTTGTGTTCCGGCACGGGAGTGGCCGGATGGAAGACCCCCTCGCAGCCGGCGAACGCCGCCGTCAGCGAGCCGCCGTCGAGCACGTCGGCCTTGAACAGGCGCAGGTTCTCCGGAGCGTTCTCCAGCTGCTTCAGAAACGCGTTCTTGGGATCATCTGAAACCAGGAAAAGGATAAAGAAACCCACATACAAGAAGATGCAGCACAAGAGGATACTAGGAAAGAACAGAAAAAATAAGAACTCAAGAAGAGACCTGGGTCGCGGAGGGTGGCGTGGACGGCGTAGCCACGGGAGAGGAGGAGCTTGACGAGCCACGAGCCGGTGAACCCGCCGGCGCCGGTCACGCACACGGGGCGCCGCGGCGGCGGAGGCGGAGGCGTCATCTCCGGTTGCCACCACCTCCGTATCCACTGGACCACTGCTGCAAGCCTGCAACTGTGCTTCGATGTGTCCATTAAGAGCAAGTTTAATGGTACAGCCAAGTATGAATCTAAATCAGGCTATATTCAATTTAATAGTCAATTTATACAATAATTATCAATAAATATATTCTACATAATTAATGTCTGGTCCCACCTATCATACACTCATGTATATTAGAGTCCGTGCTGCAGCTGGCTATAAATTTGTTGGCCGCTACTCTTATCTCTCCTCTTTTACCTCCTTTATAGCCGGCTTATAGTTTGTTATTGTACCTGCTCTAAGCACTTGTTTAATCAGCAGACTGCTTTTCCCCCACCTTTCCGACGATGTTCCTCGTGTTCAGCACGTACTTTTTTTAACGGTTAAATGATGTATTTTTTAAAAAATGTTTATATGCGAAAATTGCTTTAAAAAATCATATTAATTTATTTTTTTAAAAAAATAATAAATTAATCATAAAAAAAATTGTGTCGCTTCATTTTGCGTGGGTAGAAAATGAGTTCCCAACCTCACCTCCCGAACATAGCCAAAACTCGCGCGTAGCCGCCACGACGAGCATATTACTAAGAGCAAGTTTAATAGGATAGCCAACCACTGGCTCCAAATTATCTATAGCCAATTTAATAGCCAATTTATATAATAGTTGCCTATAAACATATACTATACAACTAATACATGTTTCCACATATCAGAGCAAGTTTAATAGTATAGCCCACTACTAGATCCAATTCATTTATAGCCAATCTAATAATCAATTCATACAATAGTTGCTTACTATACTATTAATATATGGTCCCACCAGTCATACACATATTGCGTCTTAGAGTCCGCGCTACAGCTGGCTACAGATCTGTAGCCCGCTGCTCTTCTCTCTCATCTTTTTATCTCATTAAAATATGTTTACAGCTGGCTAATAGTCTGCTATTGTACCTGCTCTCATACACATGTATCTTTGAGTTCGTGCTGCAGCTGGCTACAAATCTGTAGCATGTTGCTCCTCTCTTTCCTCTTATATCTCCTCAAAATATGTAACTGACTTATAGGCTGCTATTGTACTTACTCTAATTGTACTTGCTCTAAGAGTGAGTACAATAAGGTGATATAAGCGGGCTATACAAGTTGCCACATTAAATTTGTGCTTGTGTGGAAGAGAGATGAGAGGAGAGAAGTGGGCTATAGATTTGTAGCCAGCTATGTGAAAGAGGTGGGTGGATTATACATTAATGATTTACTCCCTCCATCTACAAAAGTTACACCTATTTCACATTCTAGTTTTTCCAAATAAGTTGTTCCTATTTGTAGTCTTTATGCATTAAAGACTTAAATGAAGAGATAAATTAAATGTTTTATTAGAACCCAAGAAGTCATCTAAATACTCATTGGTTGCATGCTTGCATTCACTACTTGATTTTGTAACATCCAAGGTGATTTAATTTTTTCTTGGTCTTGGTGTCGAAAGTAATATGTGTAACTTTTGTGGATGGAGGGAGTAGTATGTTTCTACAGCTAACTATTGTATGAGCGAGTTATTAAATTGACTATAGATGATGTTTTAAATTTTGGAGCTAGTAGAGGGCTATATTATTAAACTTGATCTAATAATTGAAGGGCGGCTGGTAGAAGGGCGGCTGGTAGTGTGCTGAGTGCTGAACAAATCTTATATTCTAATGCTGACAGTGCTTGCAAGCTTTGATTGGGCGACCTGATACCGTTTACTACCTCCGCCGTCCCAATATAACTATAGTTTGGGTTTCTGTGTCCAGCTCTTGATAGCCTGTCTTTATTTAAAAAAATATGATTAGTATTTTTATTATTATCTTAACTAGTTAAAAAACAGTAACTTTCCTTTTGTCACATAATTTTCGACCGTACGCATGATTTCTTTTACTCTTCTGTGTGCGATCCGTCCCTCCCAAATTTTTGGTTCGTCAGTCCGGAGAGATCTCGTCACTCCCGTCCCGTACGCACGTACAGGAGATCAAATCCGATCCATCTGAGCCAAGAAATATGCACGGAAACGAAAGAAACTGGATCACAAAATCATAAATTCAATAACAATGAATCAAAATCATTCCAAAAAAAATTAAATCACAAGAACTAAATCACTAGGGCCACTGCTCATCGGAGGCCAAGCAGGCCGCTGCCCTGAGGCCGTCGCGGCTGGCGGGGCGCGCCGCCATGTGCCACGAGGAGGATGTTGTCACCAAGCCACTTCCGGAGATGAGGGTGAGGGCGCTGCCCGCCGGGGAAGGAGCTCCGCTGGCCGGGGGTAGGGCGCCGTGAGCTGTGGCGGAGGGGGAGCGGGAGCAGCGGCACTGCTGGTGGGGGTGGGGGAGGGGAGGAGGAAAGCCGCCATTTGGTATAACTGACATCTGAGTCATGCTTGCACCAGACCCAGACCTAGTGACCCACATGTCAATGGCACACGTTACACATATTAGGGTTCACATATAAGTGACATGTACCTACTACATACATATGTAGTATTATAGAGGATCCCACACCACACTTGCACATTGGTGGTGCTTTTCACAGCATGAACCATCATCTCCTTCTGCATGTATATATGATCACCAGCTACAGCTAGATTGTAAGATTTTAGAATAGTAGAAGAGTGATTGCACAAATATAAACTTGCCGGACACGTATCCTCTCCATTGCTGCATATGCAGTAGGTGTAACTAACACGTGAGTCTTGCACCAGACCAAGACCTAGTGACCTACGTGTCAATGACGCACGTTACACATATCGGGGTTCACTGAACCCTAGCCTGTGGCACCAAGCTTCGACGGTGTCGGAGCAGTGGGAGGCTACCGCAAATACAAAAGACGCTCCAAAGAAAGCCCTGCGCACAATAACGCTTCTGGTAGCCTGGGAAATCTGGAATGAAAGGAACCGCAAAACCTTTTAGCAAAAGGAGCTATCGATGGGTAGGCTTCTGGCTAAAATCAAAGAGGAGGCCCCGAATCGTGGTCCTTGACAAGCGCGAGAGATCATGGTAGTTGGCTTTCTTTTTAATTGCTCTGACCGAAGGTCCTGAGCCTTGATTTTTTTTCACACTTGTAAAGTTTACTCCTGCTCTTTTCAATGAAATTGGCAGCTTGTCGATTCATTCAAAAATAAAACATAACAGGGTTCACATGTCAGTGACACCTATTGCCTGTGGATCAACCCTCTCGTATTTTGGCACCGGAGTGCCGATATGGAAGACCCCCTCGCAGCCGGCAAACGCCACTGTCATAGCGTCGCCGTCGAGCTCGTCGGCCTTGAACAGGTGCAGGTTCCCCAGATCCATGTCCAACTGCTTAAGAAACGCGTCCCTGGGATCATCTGAAACAAAGAACATGCGAAACAAACAAAGAACAATGTCGGTGATATAGGTCCGGGGGTATCAGGACCATATGGAGGAGGCTCCCCCAGTAACCACGTGGCACTCCCTCGAAGGAGGGTCGGGCCCGAGGTAAGGAGGCAGCCGTCCCCTCCATGCCTAAAGGTCAAGTTGCCCGACCCCCTCTCTATGACGCCGCATGTGCAGGGTTAGGTGGGCGTCCCCAACGCCCACCTAACCACATTTAAGCGGCATGAGCGAGCGCGCCACGCCGCATTAAGTGCGGCGCGTGGTGCGCTGACCGGTCTGTGACCGGTTGAATGACCGATGGGACCAGGGTAGTGTGCCTGGTTGCATGTCAGGCATCCCTGTCACATCGTGATGATGAGAGGGTTTTTAGCCCCTCATCATCAGCCGGAGTCGATTCGTCTGCCCGGTTAGAGCAAGGTTTTCGTTTCTTGGCGCAAGTAAGGACCCAAAAGTCTTCACCCATTAAATGATGAATGAAACGAGTGTCCCTCGTGCCAGCCGGTTAGATTTGATGGGCCCCATACTGCGGCGCCCGTGCGTGTAGCTTCCAAGTCAAGCTAAAAAAAAGGCATTTAATGTAAAGAGTGTCCTCTCTCACCCCTAGACAGACTTCTAGGCCCATATGGCAGCCCCTTGAGATATAAAAGGAAGTCCAGGCCTGGTGAGGGGGGATCGATTCCTTGGCTAACTCACGCTTAGTTCTGTGTTTCAAGCGCCTATATTCCTTAGTCGATCAATCAAGTATAGGAGTAGGGTATTACGTTTCTCAGCGGCCCGAACCTGTGGGATGTGTTAGTTTGGAATAGGATGTGGACTATCAACAATGCACTTTGAAGAGCTTGGAGAATGACCTTGCAACAAGGGTAACATGGGGCAAGTGCCAACAGGTTATGGCATGACCACAGGTGAGGAAACACCGTTCAAAACACAGAGCCACGAGCCGACGAACCCGCCGGCACCGGTGACGCACACGACGCGCCGCCGCGGCGGAGACGTCGACGTCGTCATCTCCGGTGGTCGTCTCGTCTCCCTCCCGATCCGTCCTGCCCTGCCTGCCGCCAACAGATGCCCTCCGTATATATGCCGCTTCGGCTGCAACAGGAAACTAAAAGTCCATCCTTCTCTAAAAAAAAAAAACTACAAAAGTCCGCTGCTGCTGCTCTGCTACTAGCATCAAACATTGCTTAATCGGGCGCAGGGTGGATTAAATAATTACATTACAGGTGTATTCAATTTTTGCCAGGCGTAAACTGTGTCATTGATCACAGGCTGAATCAATTCATTAATGGAACAGAGCAGATGATAATGTGGACACTGGACAGGAACACCTGATCCCCCATCTATTACAGTATTATTGGAAACATTTTTCTTTTCAGTGACAATTAGATCAAGAACAGTAGCAGCAAGACAGCGCCGCGGCTGTTCACTCCTGAGCATCTGGTACACGGTAAAGATAGGGAAGCCGGCAAGGTTCGTCATCTACTAAGCCTGCCTTCTCGTGGGATTCAACGCTGTCGACAAGCGTCTCCTCGAGTTTCCTAGGCTTCCAGCCCAGCTTCTTCAGCTTCTCTGATGTCAATCCAACCCTCGTATCCACATCAACCACTCTGCAAAAAATAATTGTGTTCATCTTGTGATGCTGATGCAACGAACCTGATGTCATTTCAGTTTCTCT